GCCGTCCGACGTCGTACGGGTAGACACTTCCCGCAATTGACGTATCAGTGGCGCGCAGGGTTTTGAAAAATTTCTGTTTTTTAAGTCATCTGTGTATGAGGGTATAGCCGGTGAAGCAGTGAAAGCCAATTTTCGATTGTTGTTGATGAAGAAAAACTCTTAAATGGATGATTATCTTCCTAGAGTGGAAGTTCGAGTTATAGATGAAGAAAAAGTAAGCTCATTTTTAATAGAAATACCACCTAGTAAAAGTGGATGTAATATATATTGACATACTGCAATGGGCACTTTCCGCTATAGTTCTCACATACGTATTTCTCATATATAAATATGTCTAAAATATATATATTTATAGATTTATCTAAACAGAGAGGGATTTGTTTGTACCTTATAATTTGAGCTTTTTGTAATTAAAAAATTTTTAAGTAAGAATTATGAAATATTTATCCTTTAACTAGCTGCAGTTGTGTGTAACTGTAAATTATTTCAATGATTAAATTAGTTCTTTAACTTGGTTATTAATTTAATCTAGTTTTTATGTCGTACTGATACACACACAGAGTAATAGAAATACCACTTTGCTAAAGTGGATGTAATAATATATATTGATATAATGTAATGTATACTTTCCACTATAGGACTGGTGTAAGAACTGATAGTAGTGAAATAGTTGATCATAGAAATTAATCTCTTAAAAAATGCCACATTCGTCAAATATATATATATATAAACAGATCATTATCATATAGAGAGAGAGGTCTATGCTATACATACAGACTCAGCAGAAATGTGTACCATAATTTCATAAAATTTAAAAACTGAAACAATTTCTTTTAAATTATTATTTATGTATCATTTATTTACTGTTATATTTTGAATCTGTTTATGAATGGTTGTTATTTATGATTGGGATTTTACTGAAAATAATTATTTACTGAAATGCTTCATTAAGTATACAGTTTTGGGGAACATTAAAGATATTGCCATTTTGAACTTTAAGGAAGTTTTAGAATTTTGATGATAAGCTTTTCTGCTTTTTTATTATTATTATTTTGCTCAGAAAATGGTGTGTGTTTCATTGATTCTCATTCATTGTTGATAACAATTTTTTCAAATTTTTGAAGAGTCAGATTTATATTTAAAAAATTCCTCTATAAGAGAATATTGAATAAAATGTGTTAATTCTGATTCTTCCGAAAGTGAGAATAAAATCTTTCGAATACTATTATGAAGTAATAAAATATGTTAATGCATCACTCATTAGCATTTGTATTTAAAGTAATTTTAAAAAGTATTCTAATGAGTACCACAAGGATATATGAATTCTTCTTAGTTAATTAAATTTTTATGCATTTCTGTGATTTGAAACATTTCAGTGCTTTTACTAATACATATTTATGTCTGCTCTCTAATAGTTCAAATTTGTAGTTTCCCTTTTTCGTCCTTGGTAGACAAAATGATTAAGAATTTAAGGTAAAAAATATCTGCTCAAGACAACTGGAAATAAAAAGTCCTTTTTCTATTCTGGTTTGCCTTTTTCAGCATTCCAGATGCTAAAGGCAATTCTACAATTATTTAAAGCATATCAAAAGTAATATCAAAGCAAGCTGTATTATATTTTAACATGCTTGTGTAAATGTTATAATTCAAGAGTTATTGTAGTTTAAAATCTTAATATTAGCTCATATATGGTATGTGGTATCACTAAATTATACTGAAGCATATTTTTTTTTGCATCGAGAATTCCTCAGGTATAATTTATCAAAATTCAGCCATTGACACTTTTCACACTTAAAGGGCATTTGGTAGGGCTTATATTAGAAAACAAGTACTTAATGTGATAGAGACAGGCAAGGAAGCTGGATTTATCAGGAATTTTTTTAATAGAGATAGGCTGTGATTGCAGTCAGTAGAGATATTTGGAGTTTTACTGTAGTTTAGAAAATACTTTTGTAGAAAACTATTACAGTATTGCATTTACTTTTTAATTACCTGTGTCTTTCTCTCACCAAATGATTCTCTTTCATCTTAGGCATATATTTATTTTGACTGCTGTTGAAAAACTGCATGGATTTTTTTCACTTAAACGCTAATTTGCTGAATTTTTTCCCTAATAGTCTAATATTTAACTACTGCAAATAGAAATTAAGGATTCCATGTATATTTGAAACTTGCTAGCCATATTATTATGGTCCAAAGTGTATTTTATAAAACTAATTTAATTCACCATAACATTAAATTATAAGCTCTTGTTCTTGTTTTATAAATGAGTCATATTGGTATTTTATGTTACTGTTATACTAAAGGAAATATAAAAATTAATAGCAGATTTGAAACCTTCATGGGTTAATCTTCGGATTATGGTAACTTGGCGATTTTTTGGCGACCAACCCTGCTACAGCAACCTGCTGGTTTTGTTTTGGACGCCATTTTGTTTTCACGAAGTAAAGGCATTTTTTTTTTTACTCAAAATTTTTTCCAACAATCTGCTAGCCAAATTACGCTTATGCTAGAACTTTATGGAACAAGAATGCTTAATCATGACGAAGATTAGGTGCGAAATTGGGAGAAAGTGCAGAATTGCAAACTGCTTGCCACGTTTTTAAGAATTGCACATACACGGTATCATCCATGTACACATCGACCTATTTTCACTTAGAAAAAAACATCCCAGAATTGCACAAAAAATGGCATTGCGCACACTCTGGACTTTATCCATGTACACTGCTAAAGTCCTAGCTAGTAACCTTTATCACCTTACCAAAATGTCACCAAACTACCTGTTACCATATTCCAAAGATTAGCCCATTCATGAAGTTTTTAGATATCAGTCTTACAAGTAAGATATATTAATTTGTGACTGAAAAAATGCTATTAGTTAAAACAGCAGCAGAGTGAGTGATGCATTTTTAGTCACTTTATTAACCCCTTAACTGTGTGTAAATCTCAGAAAAATTTATCAAAATGAAAAAAAAAATTCCTGCCTAATTTTTATGCATTATATCAATGAAAAAAATGTACAGAACTGTTGTTTTTCAAATAAGAGGTATTTTAATGAAATAATATTATTTAATATTTTGGCATATATATGCAAAATTAATGCATCGCAGCCACAGTTACCTAATTTTTTTTTTTTTTTAATTTTAATTGAATAAATGCTCAGTCATCAAAACAGCATCTGAATTGTTTAAAAAAAAAAAAAAAAAAAAAAAAAAAACCTATTTTGAATGTGTGCAAGTTTCAAATTTCTTTATCTTATGAAAAGGTATGTTTCATTGCCCTCTGAATCAAACATTTTCCTCTCTCCCAAGTAAAGCTTTTTAGTCTAAAACTCATAAAAAAAGGACAATTATAAAATAAATAATCAGACAAACCCAAACCAAAATTATGCATCTTTATGTCCTGTATTAGAATTGACAGCATGTCTTTCTCTGCACTGAAAGAAATGAAGCATAAATCGTCAATCTATTTTGAAAGCAATGAAAAATATATTTAAATGTTTGTCCAAAAGAGGAACAACCTGAATTTGGCTTTAGCAGGGTGGGGGTATGCTTATTTTTCTCATACCCGAAGTCATTTTGGGTTACACAAATATTGCATATTTTACTTGCATAACTTGCATTTTCACTTGCATTTTCCAGTGATACAAGTGAGAGGTTAAATTAGTCTTTTACCATTTTAGTAATATGTTTAAAATCATTTCTTGAAGCACTTTTTCATTATATAGCTCTTAAAATGATTGATCATCTTTTAGTTTCTTTATTTCCATTTGTAATAGTCTTAAAGTCTTTAAAAAAGTCTAGGTTTCTTTAAAGTGTTCCCAACATTGAATTATTTTACATATATATATGCTTAAAACAAAAAGTTATAAAACTTATTGATTTCATTTTTTTTTATAGGGAAAAGGTCTTTTTGCTCTTCGAAAATTTAGCCCTGGTGATGTGATTTTTGAAGAACGACCCTTAGTGTGTGCTCAGTTTTTATGGAATCAGGCTTATGGTTATCTTGCATGTGATTATTGTATGAGACCCTTGGAAACTGCTGAAGAAAATGTTCAAAGGTTAACAGGCATGCAAGATCTTCGACTGCCATATCCTGAATGTTGTGCAACAAAAAAGGAAGACTATGTTGAATGTCCATATTGTGAGGTAAAGTTTTCAAAGGCTGAGTGCTAACTAACTGGTTAAAATCATTGAACACTAACAGTTTTGTCAAAGGTTTGATTTTATGCAAAACACGCTGCATGTTCATTTAATTTACGTATTTCTTTTATTATACGTGATGTAAAAGTACTTCATTAATTTGCAAAAGCAGGCATTTTGAATTACGAGGCAGCCTTGATCTCTTTTATAAAACACACATCTTAACTAATAGCCCATTTGTGCTTTGTCTTTATTAGACATTTAATCTAAATTGCATGTTGTCCTTATATGGTAATTTGGTAATTTTAATTTTATAATTCATGTATGTATATTACAGCTGTGTTTTTTTTTAAATTTGTTTAGAATCTACTAACCAGTTTTTGATGTATACCATATGTCATTTATAGAAATTTCATTGATCCTTTTAGCATCTATAAAAATCTAAAATTTATTTCTAACATTCATTTATAATTTTTTTTAATTGCTAATAATTTATCTAAGCAAAATTTGATTTTATATAAATCAAACTATTTTATGGGAGGATGTCTAAAGATTGCATCTACAAGCTTTAAAAAGAGTTTAAAAAATTTGTATGAATCATGTTCATATAGGAATGTAAATGTATTCAGATGTACCACAAGCAGGAAATAAAAGGGACATAAAGATAAGCAAGAACATATTACAGAATGCAATATAAAGTGCTTCATTGGGCAAAACTTGACAGTACAATAGCTTCTGACTCAGAATACTGCTTCACAAGAAGTGTTTAAAATTCGACCATTTGCAGTGATGCATGCTAGGCACCAGTGCCATATGACACTGATGGTGCATTGCACATGCAGTTAGGTACCTTTTCCTATTCTTTCTTATAGTGGCTTGTTCATTACTGTCCGCTAAATGCATTTAAGAAATGTAAGTCACTAACTTAACATTTGTAAAACAATGCATGTTCTCTGTAAGACATGGTAGGCTGCGAGGCTTCTTGAAAGCCAAGGGGAACCAACATTGTCCCCAAACTTTAGAAGCTCTGATGGAGGCACAATAATAAGAATTTCTTACTTGAAATGCCTCTCAAAGTCCTAGTCAGCTATCGAAGAAGGCTATCAGTGCATACAACTGGGGCTGCCACTTGAGTGATGTTTCATTTTTAAAAAAGAAAGATTGATATAAAGTGGCATTTTCGTATTTTCAATTAATAAAAAGATAATATTCATGTGTTGTTTGGTTTGGACTGTACGAGCTTTCCGAATAGGGGAGCTCTTTCTACTACACCCTGTATTAGATTTTTAGGAACTTTCTTTAAATTAAAAATATCAAGCTTTAATTAATAAGAACAATTGCTTAGTTGAGATAGAACATTATGACGGAATTCCGACGTGCCGTGAAAAGCATGAAATTTCTGAGAAATGGTCAAAGAAAGTTAGAAAAATTATGATGGTTTTCTGAAATGTCAGACAAAATGAGAACTTCTTCCAAAAAAGGCCAAGGAAATAAATATAAAGCAATCAGCAATAAATATAAATCAATAATAAAAAGTTAGTACTGTTCTGTTATCAGGGCTGGATTCAGAAATGTATGCATGTATGTGTTCATATATGCATTTATATAAGTACATACATGCATATGTTTGTGAATGGATGTATATGTACATGCACAAATATGCATGCACACGTGCTTACATACATGCATTTCTGAATCCGTCCCCAATAACAGAAGAATACCAAAAAGGTTACTGTTATCATTGTTTTTCTTCCAGAAAATATTTCATTCATCTCATAACAAATAAAATTTATTCAACTTATAACTTTCCTTCTCCCCCATTAATGAATGATATTATTAACCCTCATGTTTAGAAATGCAGTTTTTCTCTTTTTAGGCATGTAATTGTCCTTCAGAAATAAATAAAGGTAAAAATATATTTACGAGTACCCTGTGGCAATAATTGGTGATTTTTGGCGGTGTATGGACACAGAGTTTGTGCAATTCTTTGACTTATTATTTTGGCTTTGTGTAACAAAAATCGCTGCTACAGAAATCCAAAATAAGAAGTCAAAGAATTGCACAAACTCGGTATCCATGTGCGCATCAACCTATTAAAAAAAAAAAAAAAAAAAAAATCAGAGAATTGCACAAACTAGGCACTATGCACTCTCTTGACTTTGTCCATGTACACATCGATCTATATTCACGTAAAAAGACAAAGGAGCAGCCAACAAAAATTAAATAATCTCAATAAACTACATTTTAAATCAAGCAATGAAATAACATAAAAAAGGAAATTAATCTTAGCACTACACAAAGGAAATATCCACGTACCTTATTTACGAAACTGCATGTCTTCAATCAAACAAAATTCTTAAACAGCATCCAAAAACTTCCTAAAATTATCTGAATACTGGCATCACCACATAAATTCACAAAATTGAGTAAAAAATATCCTGCATAGTGCCGGTATCGTCCGACATTTGACCATACACATTTCCTTCCTATAAACAGGATACTTAATAATGGCCAGTAAGTAAACCTTCATTTACACAATAGTGAATTAATGCTTGTTTCCCTTTCATCGCCCAGAAACTTCAAACTAATGTTACCACATTCATCTGTTTTGCCATGTAAACCACAAAATAACAACATACTTATTGAAAATCTGATGCATACTTTCCAAATCTTTTCCCATGATTCAAATTGACCGCAATCAAGTAACCAATTACGTGATAATAGGGTTTCCATAACATTCAACTGCCCAGATTACCATAAATGAAACAACTTGGTGATAAATGAAACAGCAACTTAGCAATAAATGAAACAACTTGGCGATAATCCAAGGTGCACCCTTAAATCTACTCTAACCTAAATAAATTATGGAAGTTAGAAATCACATTTTTTTGTTTATACATTATTATAATTAACTTTATTAACTAAGAATTTTTTAATCTAATTTATGAGCTTTGCTTTATCCAATTAGTCTAATCTAATTTTTTTACTTCAGTGTAGCTCTTAGCCACTTATTTTGAAAGACCACAGATCTAATATCTATTTTGAATGGTGTACTTTGTATAGGTTCTGTTACAGATTGAATTTTTTCTTGGTCTAATAGTTCTTAATAAAAACTCTTATCTACTTTTTTGATGCTTTATAGCAGCATTTCTTAAACTGTAGGCTGTGACCCCAAAAGAGCCGTTCCCACTGGGGTTTATCTAAGCTAAAGGAGACAGTTGACGTAGCCAACCCATCTCCAAAACCAGATTTTCCCCATAGGGCAGCAAGTTGAAAAATCTGAACTACAGGCATAGCGAAGCTAGTCAACACATGGAACTGACTCCATTAGCTCAGATAAACCCCAGTGGGAACGGCCCTTAATGGGATCGCAAAGTGAAATGTTGGGGTTGAGAAAATTTAATTCAGATACAGGAATTTAAAGAAACTTAAGTTGGATTTCCTTGATTATCTTTAGTATAACATTTTCTGTACAGAACAGTTATAAAATCACAATATCAGTCAAGCTGAGCTAAAAATTATACTTCAGAATGAAAAGTAGCACTAAGTGGATCATTATGGCAGTATCACATTTCAATTTCAGCGTATAAGGTATTTAAGAATCAAAATATCCTGCAAATACACACGACATAAATTGTAATTTTTTTATTAAGTTATTTAAATTACAATAAAAGCTGTGAGAGTATTAGGAGAAAACTTAAGATTTCTTTTTCTGTGCTCTCCCTATTCAACTCAAAGGAGGTGAAAAAAATCTACTTTTATCAACTAGTAACTCTTTTAGATCACTAAGTTTATGGCCTGGAAACTAGAATTGGGATGCTGATTTCTTTCATTTTAGATCTTTGAGATAATTTATATGCTTAAAAGTAGGCAGATTTCAGTATTACAGGTAACTATCATGAGCAGCATAAGTGCTATTACACAGCTGAGCGTAAATTGGAATATACTCAACTTGTAATACTGTAGTCTTTCTAGGCTTCAGCTCTTTAACAGGATTAATCTGTTATGTCTTCTGGTGAATTATAGTGTTCAGTCTCAGTGCAACCATGGACCAAATGTCTTCATCTGGTGAAATATCTGGTGAATATGCTGCCTGAAGTGGAAGTGTGACATGCTTTCACTTCTCTAGGTTGTTTCTCGTTAGTGTCTGGTTGCTGAAGAGCTGGTGATATGCTTATTCCTATGCTATCCATCAAGGAAAAACCAGATGTTGTACTAGATGGGCATTTGTGCATTGCCCTATCAATATGCGTCCCTATGGAGGCTCTGAAAATATGGAATAACTAAAGGCTGTAACATACTTGTGGTGCACTGCTGGCTAGTCAGAGTTCTGGATATACATAGCAGATGCAAGCAGGCCTTGTTTCCAATGATGAGTATAACTCTAGGTACTAAATTTGTGTGATGATGCATAATACAAGACACCAAATCTTGATCCGCATGGTTCCGCATATGATTTGTCTGAAAATATGAAGTCACACCATTTATGCATCTATGAATGTTGTTGTGTGCACTATTGTAGCTGTAGACATTTATGCAAGTAAAAAAAAAAAAAAAAAAGGTACAGAAAGCAGAAGCTAATTGGCAGGCAGTACAAGGCACTGCAAGCAATATTGTATTATAGATGCAGATAATTGTTTCTCTGCCATGTACTTTCATCATTAAGTGGATGTAAAATCTGCGAGAGTCATGTGCCTTAAATGTATGTCTTCCCAGGCATTGGAATTTATGGAATCATTGTCATCCTAAACATAGCTCAATCTGTCTCTTCTCTAGCTACTGCTTGCATAATCATCTGCAGTCATAGTACATTACAATCGTTTCAAACTTAGATACATTCTTGCATGAGAATTATTTAGATCTACACAATCAAACTTGATTCCTGCAAAAGAAAAAAAAAAAACCTGCTTTCATTTTTTAGCCTTTTTGATGTGGAATTATTGATGGCTATAATGTATACATGCACTGACTTGCATGTCCTATCATGCCATACATATTATGATGTACAAATTATGCAAATTTCAGATCTATTGGGTGCTTTCTTTATGGTGTTATGCTGCTGATGACCAGTAGCATATCTATAAACTGACAGATGAATATATTTTTACAACTGGCACATTGGTGATTTTTTGGCAATAAGTATATTACTAATAATTTTGTTTAAAAATATTAGTTGGGTGGGATTTTATGTAACTTTTGATAAGGGTTTTATATAATTTTTACTAATTTACAAGTATTATGGGCTGAATTTAATGGCCAAATAGTTTATTTTTGTGCTTGTTCAAAATCCTAATCTTTCTGAAGGAAACATATTTTCAGTAAAGTAATATATTTCTCACTGTAATGTTTTAGGTTTCTTATTGCAACTCCGATTGTAGAGCTCAAGCATGGGAACAGTATCATCAAGTTTTGTGTACTTCTTCTTTATTTGGTAATACACAGCATCCACTAGACCAGCTGCAAGATGCATGGAGGTAATTCAATAAATTGTTTTAATTTTTCTTTTCAGTTTCCTTTCCAGTGTAGATTAGACTTTATTTCACAATGCATTCGAAGTGCATGTATTTTAATTTCACTGAGAATTTTTTATATAAATCACATTTAAGATTTTGAAGTTTCTAATAGGTATAGTTTTTTTAATTTGCTATTGAGGAATTTGGCATTCTTTATTTGACATAATATGAAATTTGACTTTTGCTTCTAATTGCCAAATTGCTGGGAAAGGAAATGTCACTAATGCATAATTTGGACCATAAACTGATTGTGCCATTTATTTTCAGTAATCATAATTGCTAATGAATATCCAGATACCTACTTTGGTAGAATCAGATTTGTCTGGCTTATACTAATATGATATTAGTCGCAACCTGCTTGTTTTAGAAGACTTTTCACCAGCTTTTGACATATGTCTGCAAGAATTGCTTTCCATTAATCCGTAACAGTTGCAATAAGTACAGCTGTCGAAGGTAAGCAGTTTCACAGCCATATAATCTGCATTCCATTTCTTCCCTGGGAAGTACAGGAGGGTTGGCCATGTAGAGGTGGCCAAACTAAATGTAAGATTTTACTGGAGACATAGTTCTTATATGTGTTTGGGTACCGGTATAGAGTCTCGCCTTCTTGGCCTTTGGGTAACATAAACTAAGTGAAAACTCTGGAAGGCTAAGAGAATTATTGTTATGTCGTATGCAACAGAGACTTTGGGAAAAGGTGTAAAACACCCCTTTATTAACTTGGATAAATTAGCAGAAGGCACAGCTTCTGCTTACAGAATCAGCCAGCATTTATGACGTAAATCAAAAGGTAAATAATTTAACTACATTAAGTAAATTGCGATTTAATCCAAAGGCTGCATAGAGAGAATGCACACAATTTGGTTCAAATCTAAAATCATCGTGACAAACCCAGTGGTGAGAATAATGCAACGCTGTAGATAAACTGTTCTCAAGCAGCAGGCAGAACATGTTCTGGTTCTATCATCTAAAACCTTCCTTTAAATACTGTTTCCTACCTCATTTCAGTAAGTGCGAAATAGAAATTACCATTCTCGCAGGAAAACGGAAATAAAAAATGACAGAAAAGCTCTTTAACATTAAATAACTGGATAATAAAAATAAATGAATGCTCTACAACAAGAAAAATATTGTATATTGATAAAAAAAATTTTATAGAAAATTATTGCAGCATTGATAATGAAAGAATTGCTTAAAACATCTGTTTGCATTTCTCATTTCAGCTTCTATTATAGGTTTTGATGTTGTAACTCATTGCAGGTGGTGTAGACTGTTCGTATAGTTACATATATGAGACTCCTTTCTTGTTCGCAAAGGTTTAAGCATACATTACAATAAACACAATTTCTGTTTTAGAAGCTTGTGTATTGATAATTATACGTCATTACAGCTCACCGCTTTTAACTGTAGCATATACACTGTAAACTTTAGCCAGTACATATTTTATTTATTACCCTTTTGCAATATTCTGAACAATTCGATATCATAATTCTCATTTTTTATGTACATAATCCTTTCACATGATATTACTTAGAAATCTTTTTGCAGTGTGCCATCTGTTGTTTAGGATAATTATTTTCTTGGTTATATATTACCATTAATGACATAGCAAAGTATTTTAAACACTTCAGTGTTAATAATTAACTTACTTGTGTTCAAATTATATATTATTTTACTATATATTGCTTTAATGTGTCAATACTTAAAGTATTTTAAACAATACAACCTTAACTCTGTGAATTACTGAGCCACATAAAGATATTTATTACCTTTAACAACATTGCAAAGCATATTAATCACTTCAGCACAGGCAGAAACTATTTCAGTATGATTTATTATATAAGTAACTTATTTCATTTGATCACATTTTAAAATATTTATTTACAATATTAATATAGCAGTACTGTAACTGATTTTCAAAAAATACATATTTCTTTTTTTATCAGTAATTCCCAAACAGCTAATTTTCAGTCATTTAAAAAGGAAAACGATAACTCCCTACAAAATATTCTAAGCTGTGAAATAATCCTTCATTACTCCAATAGAACTAGCTACTGTGTTTCCATTGAATGAATTGACATCACTTAGAATTCATTTCACATATGTCTCTTTAATCTATCCTAAGAGTCACATACTATCAAGATTAAACTACATCGATATCTAGCAATTACCCTAGAACTTTGATGTATAATTTTAATATTTAATGTTATCCTTTTATTAAACATGTAGAAGTATGTGGTGTTTTCTCATAGTAGTCTTAATTTTAGAGCTGTAATGATAATGTTTTAATTCTGATATTAATTTTCTAGACAAATGCATTATCCTCCAGAGACTGCCAGTATCATGCTTATAGCAAGAATGATTGCAACTGTTAAACAGGTTGGTAAAACTGTAAAATTTTCAGTTCACCTATATGTATTTATTAAGTGTAATTATGATGCATTGGTATTCTTAAATAAATATAAGGTACATAAATAACATCAACCGTCAGTTTCACTGTATGGATGATTAAAGTGTAATCACTGAAAATGAGAATTTTCTGTAAATATGGGGAAATATTTATTAAGAATAAATATAGTCATTTTTTAATATAAAAAACTATTCCATATATGAAGGTTATATCTGCTCTTAATCATATCTTGTGTTAATAATTTTTTTTTAAATCTTCTGGTTAAAATCATTGACACCATAGACGAAATATAAATTACATGAGGGTTTTCTTTATGGTAATATCAGTCATTTCACTGTAACTGTTTTATTAATAACTAATAATATACTAATTTAATTGCAGAAAAGCTGAAGTACATGAATTATATATATTTCTAAAAAAGTATTAAGTATGTTATTTTTCATTATTGTATTTAGTATCTCACTGTCCAATTTCTTTTGAATAGGCAAAAGACAAAGCTGGTGCTGCTCATTTGTTTTCACAGTTTTGCCATAAAACAAGAAGTAGAAATGGTGATATTGCACATCGATTGCTTGGTAAACAGTTTCAGGTAAAAGTTTACAGTTTTAATTTGCATTATGTTTGTTTGAAATACCTACATATACTTATTATATGAAACAGGTTATTTGAAGTAGCTGTCGGTGTTTATTATATGAAATAAGCTCAGAATATATGCTTGTTTTCTCATTAAGTGATATTTGAAAAATATGTGAAGGTATAACAACATATGTTCAGAAACTAAATTCGTAAATTATGTGTCTTGTTTAAAATGTAGAACTTATATTCTTTTGGCACACATATCCAGAACTCATCCTTGAACTCACCTGTTTCTAAACCAAGTAAAATGAACCCCATTAGTGTGTAAGTTGAAATGTGACATAGTTTCTTTAATATGAATATGTACTGCTTGGATACCTGCTAAACAATTTTATATACAAATCCAGCTATAACTTGAAGCATTCAAATTTTAATTACCTCCCATAAAGAAGGATTATTTGAACCATTTTCCTTCCATTTTTTGTTATTACATCAAGTCACTTTGACAGGTAACATCCAATTACTAAATAAATTTTACTCCATATTCACAAATATCCATCCCAGTTTTTCATAAGGTAAATTTGGAAAATTATTTTAACATTTATAAAACTAAATATCTCATATTTTACATTTTGCAATCATTTCTAGGAATCTTAAAACTCAAATTGGCTTTATACAGGCTGCTCAGAGAGAATCTGACTCTTTGGAGTTAAGCCGAGATTATCTAATTTTATCTTCTCCCCATTATCCCTTGGACCTTTTTGAATTTGAATGTAAATCTTGATCTTATTCAAAGAGTTGTTAAAAGTAAAATGAACATTTCGCAATTAAGATCTATTGCAATGGAAACTATTGGGGTTCGCAGTCCTCAAAATGAGTGGTTGCATGTCTACACTGACAGCTCTATGTTAGAGAGAACGTGCAGTGCTGGAGCAGGTATCCATAGCGAGCTTTTCAATTTCTACTTACCAATGGGACCTCTTACTACTGCCTTTTTTTTTTTATGGTAAACTCGTAGCTATTGCTGTGGCTATTCAACAACTGTCAATTCATAGCCACTCTTTTGTAAAACTGTCAGTCATATTGTCAAATTTCAAACGTGTGCTTCAAGCTCTTCTGAATAATCAAAATAGTTCCCAAAGAATCTTAGACTGTAGGCCTTAAGGCAATGGCACACAGAATTTCTTTTCAATGGATTCCAGCCCACTGTGGAATTATGGAAAATGAAAAAGCTGATACTTTCATTTAGAAAGATAAGAAAGGAACTTTCGTAATGCAATGCATTAATCGACCGCTTTCATTTCATATGACTAAATTTTTAACTTGACTCTTAAGAAACTGCTTAAGTAGGATATGATTCAATATGCTATGGATAAGAGTTGGAGGATTCTGAGGGGAAGAGACAACTTTCATTCTCAGTTTTCCATGACTGTTTGCAAGATCACTCTACAGAATTGGAGTGGATTCCCCAAACTGTATTTTGTGTGACTCCAATCAGCGTATGATTTTTTAAATAACTGTATTGCACTTTCTCGGTATGAGGAAATTGTTAAAAAGTACTGGAAAGCCCATGAACTAATGGCTTAAGTGCAAGTGTTTGGCATTTGTAAAGTAACATTTTGCAATCATATATCTTGTATCTATATTGATTCCAGACCCAAACAACACTTGCCTTGCTGTGGTTTCAGTTTTCTGTATTCCAAAGTGAACTTTATAAATCAGCTTCAATATTTCTGTTCTTAAATCCATAGGCACCACCCCTCTATCATTTGAAAACACTAGATTTCCCTGAACATTTAAATTTAAAAATATTTTTGAGCTTTAACAGTACATTTTTGCCATTTAAAGGCCATCCTTTAGACCAAAATCTGAGTAAACAGGCAAGGCTACATCATATAGAGTCACTTTTTTTTTAACTCCTTTAGCTTATTTTCGCCCATTTCTAAATTCTAGTTAGACTATACGATATGTGTCATTTTCATGTTGTTTTTGATGGGTTTAGGATTAAATGATCATGATAATAAATTTGCAATACACATGTATTTGCCAGAAAGATACTTGAGAATTTAACTGATATTTTAACAATTTTACTTTTATATGTTGTAATTTTATTCATTGTGGACAATAAAGATTGTGATCAGTTAGCCTTTCAGCTGTTTGACCATAAATAAAATAATGGAATTTGAAAACAGCAAACACTGTACTTAAAAAGTATTTTTTCAGTTTGTGCATAACTTTTTTTTTACTTCAGAAAGCTTTGAGAAGTAAAAGTGATTTGAATCTTGTAACGTACAACAGCTTTGGAACTATCTGATTGTATTACAGTTGGCTTTGAACGATGAAAGATATCCAAAACTAGTGCATTAGCAATCATCTTTTTTAACATAAATTTAAAGTAATTAAATCTCTAATTATATGATATTGAGAAGTATAATACATGTTTTTACATGTAAATTAATATAATTATTAAATAGAAATAATATAAAATGGACATAATTTTATTAACTATTAGCATGAAAAGCAATAAAATATCTTAGTAGATGCTGCCACCATAAATACCTTTGTGTGACATTTATGTTACTTTCATTCCTAACCCGTCTTTTTTCTGTGTTCTAAAATTTACTAGCATAGTGAGCTATAAATGTTAAGCTTTCTGCATTAAAGATAAGGTAAGTATTATTTGTAAAATACAAAATAAATCCAGCCAAATTGGTATCTTATGGTAATACAATTTATTCAAATCTGCTTGGCACCATAAGGAAAAATTTGAGAAAGGCGGCTTGCAAGAATGTTGAAGAAGCATTTGCTGAAATAGTTTACCATTCAAAAAAGCCATACTCTGCTAATATCTCGACAAATGCTTCAGACAGAAGCCATACTCTGCTAATATCTCGACAAATGCTTCAGACAGAAGCCAATGAATTTGCCAGACACATTGGAGGGACTGCCTTTTTGTGCTCAAATGGCTGGTTGGATAGTTTTAAGAAGCAGAACATTTTGTCAGGAAAACTTATCAGAGAGTTAGGCAACATCTAAAAATTTGATGTCATGAAACAGTAAAAGAAATATTTAGGATACCTATTATCACTGCCAAGGGAAAGACATTTTTAACACCAACAAAGCTGGCCTGTTCTACTGATACTGTACAAAAACGTTAAAATTTGTACCCGAAAGATATGGCAGAAAATTGTTAAAAGGGAAATTCACAGATCTTGTGTATGCATTTCATGGAGCATTGTAGACTTTGGGTAATTGGAAAATCAGAAGCCAAAATGTACTTAAAAGCCAGGAGGTTTGACATGTTTTAAAATATGAAAACTCTTCCTGTTGCCTGTTCTTGTAAGCCATGGATGTCATCAAAATTGTTTGAAGAAGAGTTACGAAACTGTGATAAAGTCCTTTCATCAGAAATTTCTGCTCTTGACTGACAATTGTACTGTATACTCAGATGTTGGAAACTTATTTCATTAAGTTTATTTTCTTGTTCCCAAATGCAACTTTTAAACCAATGTTTTATCAAAAGCATGAACTTTCATTACAGGAATCCACTTATTTTAAGCATTTTGGAGATTTATGACAAGCATGTCGATTATAACATTTCACTTCTTGATAGAAAGCAAGTTTAGTCTTAGCAAATTTTTACAGAGTCAATGATCTGGAACTGTTTTCAGTATGATAGTCTAGTAAAGAGTGTTGAAAAAGATGGAAACAAGAATTTGCTTATGTGTAAGTGGCTAAAAAAAGTGAGAAAAAAGTGTTTTTACAGAGTCAACCATCTGAAACTGTTTTCAGTATGATAGTCTAATAAAGAGTGTTGAAAAAGATAGAAACAAGAATTTGCCTATCTGTAAGTGGCTAAAAAAAGTGGTGTTTCAATATTTTCAGAAAGTGATATGGAGTTTTTTCAGTCATGAGATGATGCAAGTGATTAGATATTGTGACAGAAATTAAAATGGTAAATGCTGATGTCGAAGATCCTTCTGATGCTGGAGAAAATATTAAGGAAATGCAACACATAGAAAGTGAAGTCTCTTTCACAGCAGATGCCAAGGCTGCAATGCATGTCATTAATTAGTTTTATTTGCATAAACTGAAAATCCAGAAATGATTGAATATTTGCAGTTTTGGGATAAAAATATGGATAAAATTTTCTTGCAATCTGCATCAGACGAGCAGAAAGTTATAAATTACTTTAATTCTTAGTAGTTAGCGTTACATTCGTCAGTATTTTTTAATTCCTTTTTTAATGTATGTATATTTTTATGGATAAAAACTATTCTTAGTTATAAATGTGTACTTTGATTAAAGAATCAGAACTGTGATATGTATGCTAAGTAATCGTGTAAAATTATTCACATATAGTGAAACTAGAAAAGAACAACCCACAAATTTAATGGCTACTCTTCCTTTTTTTTTTTTTTTATTAGATTTGTTATTTACTTCTTTTTGGTAGATGTGACAATGTTATTCAGTTCTTTTTGTGATTCATCATTCAATTTTTATATGGTTTTGAGATAATCCTTTTTCTCATCTGATCCAGATATATGGAACCAAACTTTTGATTTCTTGATGCAGATTGTAGCAGGATTCGACTGTATTTACTTAGATCATGCACAATATGTTTTGAATTTTTTTACTCATTGTCAAATTTATAGAGACAAAACAAACAAAGAAGTGATAAACTTTCTTACAGTGTACTAACATAAATTTGTTTAAAACATTAAAAATAATTTTTACTTATTTACTTTTTTCTATTTTTTTTTTATTTCAGTAATTAAAATATCTTTAAAATCATTATAGATTATCTTAATCTTTGATTAACACATTTTCCTTCATTTAAAAATAAATCATTGATTTTAATCAGTGATTAACTCCCTGAACCACCTGAAAGACAAGGAAAAATTAGAATGTATTATTTTTTAAATGATTTTCGTATTTGTCTTTTTTGCTGTCCCAGTATCAATTACCAGCTTTGAAAGTGACTTGGCCATAGTAGTAATTTGCAAAAGTGGAATTATTTGCTAGTTTGTTTTAGGTTTAAGAAACTTTTTCATTGCCTGATTTGTGATTCAAAATATGGTTTTGTCAAAAAATAAACTAGTAATTTACAAGCATGTCAAATTTTTGAGGGGCCAGAGAGCTACAATTTGGCCATACTTGGTGTACAGTATTGCATCAGTAAAAAAGTATGTGCATACTGTGCTTGCTTCAGTACAGAAACACATTTTACGCTATTCCTAGGATGGCAAGTAATGCATTTTCCTGTCTACCATCGTTGTATGTTTTGTTTTATGCAGAGAAACTAGATAATAAATGGGAAAAAAAAATATTCTTTAGTTTCCTAGTCACAGTTTTAATTTCAGTAAATTGGCATATTTAGTTTTCTGTTAGACTGTTTTTGCTGTATTATAAAATTTATTTGTTAAACATATTAGTCATACCTTGAATGAAATACATGTTTTAGCTTTGTGAACATTGAAAACAGCAACAGCAGATATGTAATGGTCACCATGGTGCTCACTAGGGTGCATGAGGTACAAAATATGATCATTAGTAGTATTGCCTGCTGTTGTGTGAATATGAGTGTTAGTTAAAATAAATAAAATAATCGTTATGTCTTGCTATTTCAAAGTTATTTTTTACATTATAAGGGCAGTTTATGATAAGCTCAAAGGTGTTAAATGAAAATAAAAACACCATGCAGAATATTATTGGTAGAATAGTTCTTGGTAGGAATGTTTTTTCTACCTAGCTCTTAAACTAACCCAAATAAGAATTGATTTGTGTACAAGAAAACTGAGACAGTTTTTCTAATTTTCAATTCACAAATATGTGAATTGAAAATTAGAAACAAAATGGTATAGTGAAAGGAATTAATTTTCACTTATATTAAATCTGAAAATTTGCATGGATTTTCTACTAAATTAAGTCTGACATCTATTGTCTGAAGTTTTTTCTATTGTTTTTGTTCATGTTTAAATCAAAGTTATTGATTTTTAATTTGTTCATTCTGAGGATATGCAAATCTTTCTTTTATTTTGGAGACAGTGTTGCAAATCAGAACAAAAGCTGACTGACTAGCTCACACTAATTAATGAAAAAGGGATAAAATAGGTAGTATCTGCAGATTATCCAATGTCATTAAATCCTACTTTAGCTTAGTTACAATATTGCTTGGTATCTCAGCTTTTTAAATACTTTTAGTTTCAGCAGAAATTATGTGATGTAATTTATTATTAGTTTGATTTGTAGTTATTGTACGGATCAAGTTTATTGTTAATTTCAGAAATGAATGTTTTATTCATTCAATTTTTTTTAAAACTTTAATTTACACCCCCCCCCCCCCCCGAAAAAAATTATTTGTGTTATGTTTTATTCATTTTATGGGTAAATTTGAACACATTTCTTGATTAAAGTATTTCCTGAACAAATTCTGAAAATTTTCCTGAATAAATTTCTTGATTAATGTATTTTCTGAACAAAATTACAAAATGAAGTAAAAAGTGGTAATAGATAGATTTTAGGATATTTATCAATTTTTAATTTCTTGCTAATAGGCTCAAGTAGAACATTTGAGGCAGCTTATGATAAAAGGTCTACAGGATGAAGATCTGTTGCAAGTAAGATTTTGTTTAACTGAACTGTAAAATGAAATTTTGTATTTCCTGCTGTGAAACATAATCTTTATATGCATCCAAAGGTATGAAAGAAGATAGCATGTGGAATATCATAAAGTTTATGCAGTAAGAAAAAATCCAGTTGTCAAAAAACTGTTTAGGTGTCTAGAGGTCCATTTTGGGGGCTGAAAAAAGTATGCATGAGAGGACCAATTTTACCAATATGTATCATAGAATTTTTATTTCAGGCTTTTCTTAAAAGTTTGAAACTCTTAAAATGAGTTACCAGAGAAGGAGCCTTCTTTCTGTTATTGAAAGTGATTCATGATTCTTTGATGGCTTTGATTTACTAGTATAGTTTGATTTATGGCAAAGTATACTAGTAAATGGTATTTTGTTATGTAATATTAATTAAATATTATGTTATTATGTAATATACACTACTTAAATACTACAGTAACTAACAAACCTAGCATGATAATATTAAGGACTTAATTAAATCTCCAGCAACACAACAATGGTGCAGCTGGGCACTGAAATGTAAAATTTGTGAACCTGTACTCTAACGGAAGGAGAATTTAAAATAAATGAAACAGTACTGAAATTCAAAATTTTTATTGTCAACATGAGATAGATTTCCAGTTTTCATCATAATATGCCTGTTGTGTTTCAAATAACTTGTTGGAAACTTGCTCATTATTCCCTTATCTGTTTTGCGGCAATTTTTTAATATCTATTATGTTGTAGGGGGACAATTTTAGTCATATTCTGTCATATTGGTAGTGACAGAATATGAGGTGAGTGTTTGACATTCTCACAATTTGGGGTGAGAACATAGCACTATTTTTTCTTTATTTTAAAACATCCATCATTTGAATTTGGAACATATTCCCACTATACTAGTACTCGGTTCAGAATATCTAAATTGGTTTTCAATGGGGAAAAAGGGGCTTTTTTTATTGTGCAGAAAGTGGGCAAGAAGAAAAAATAATGTTCTTAAGTTTTCCATTAAACTTAATTTAAAATCAAATTTTCACTACGATATAAAGATGATGTTTGAGTTCAACAACGTGTCCTTCAAAGTATAAAAAAGTCATTATAGTAAAAACTGATAGAACATTTAAGGAAAAGAAAAATTTCTTAGTCCCCACCCATGAAATAAATTGTTCCATCAATGTTTCATGTACATCAGGCTTCTGTATCTTGAAGTCTGTACTGTGCTGACTGTTTGTTATTTCCATATGCCCACTTCCAGTATTTTCTCCAATTCATCGTGGTAGACATCTTCATACTCTCTTCATCAAGGTCAAATTTTTCAGTTGTGGTGCTCTGCATATTGACAGTCATAATGTTTTGACCAATGCTGGTATCAGAGCTGGTGCAGTAGGATTTACAGCAAAATTTTAAACTATAAGAATGAACTGTGTAGAAGTTTTTAGAAGCTGCAAAGTTTGCACCAGGTAGTAAAAAAACTAGATCTAGAAAGTAATGAGTTTGAGTTCTTTTGATGTGACTGTAAATGAGGCAATGACATTTTCACTATCCTGTAAGTTAGCAAATTATTTTCATCCTTTCCATTTTACACTTCAGGTGCTTCAATACCATCCTGCAATAACTTCAGAATTGAGGGTGAACTGCCTTTGCTTTCATTGTAATGAATAATGTTCTTTTTGTTCCTGTGTTGAAGATTCGTCATTTCTTTTTGATTGCAACTCATTTAGATCCTTTCTTGATACTTTTCTCAGTCACAGCAATTAATTGCTTCCGTGTCCAGTTATAACAATCTTTCATGAAGTTTTTTTGATGTGACATTATGCCAGGACTCAATTTGTATGTAAAAAAAAGAAGCAAAATTTTGTTAGCTTGCTTTCATTCTACAAACTATTCTTTTTCTGATAAATATTGTTACGAAATGTACAGGCGCGGTAAGATGGCTTTCCCGCAAAGCAGTTTTAGGGTTGCCATAAAATGGCAAGGGAAGGCTGAGTCCCCACATTTGGCGAGAAATCGCCCATTTGGCGACAAAATTGGCAATATGCCATGGACGGATGGAGAACCTTCTGGAACGAATTATTACTGGTTTAGCCCAGAATGTTTTTAACACCTGTCAAAAGCTATATAAACCCTGCTGGTATGTGGAGAGTCGGTTAGTATCGAGACGAGTCAATCCCTGCGGAGTTGATCGAGTTGACAGCCGGGCAACGAGTGCCGAGTGGGTCGTCAAGTGCACCAAAGGAGTCCTGTAGTGTATCGAGGTCAGTGCATTGTCGAGAGAGCGTGTTGAGCTCTGGGAACAACTTAACCGAAGAGTCGGGAGCTGTGCTTTGTGTGTCATCGAGTGCATCGCGAGTTGTAGCGTGGAGAGTCTCGAGAGTACGTGGAGTTCTGAGAACGACCAAGCAGGAGTTGGGAGCTGTACTCTAGTGCTTTGCTTGAAGCTGTCCCCACCGTGATAGCCTGATAACCTGGAGGATGTGTCACTGATCGTGTCAGCGTGTTTATAGTAGTTCATCGATGACTGTAAAAACGTGTTTTGTAGCTGTCCTGACAATACTGGCCAATAAAGTGTGTTATTCGATACTTCATCAAGTGTCGTCGTTATTCACTCCATATCCACACGAACCCCGTCGAACGTGAAGGAAGAAAATAACGTAACAACTGGTGTCGGGAGTGGGGTAATAGCTTATTGGAGCAAGTGTTTGTCCGAACTAGAAAGGAATTATTGCATCACCCGTAAAGAATTGCTTGCTATCGTAAAGGCCATAGACAAAAAACGACCTGACTGTAATTACATTAATTAGATTCAGAATATTGCCAATGATGAGATATTTGTTGCTACATAAAAGTATTTACCAAACAGCTAATAAAAATAATTAATATGTTGAATCAACTAATATCCATGAATGGAGTCAGTGGAACAGTGCTATTCTTTTAAAGTTTGGCTTCAAGTGTGAGATCAAAAATGGGGGGCCTCATATTTCTGCACTTTGTGATGACTTTTTAGGATTTGTCAGAAATAAATAGCACTAAGATCACATTTCACCAAATATATTGTTTGAAATGTAGCAGCTCATTTTTAAAATTACACTAAGAAACAATATTACTCTAATGAAAATAATAGTATTCTGTATTGTATTTTCTATTTTTCATTAATTGTATGTTTCTTTTTAAAAACAGGCAAGTGGGTGTGTATAAATTCCATACAGTACTGCAAGTTCATGCTTAAAAGAATTACTATGTATAGGGTCTTCTTTTCCCTAGAATCCTTGATGATAATTAATAATAATCAAACAGTTAAGGCTGAATGTGAGATACATTGTTCTGGGCATAATTTTTATATGAAACTATGTTAAGATTAGTTTCATTCAAATCATTCATTAGGAAGATAAATCTTTTTTCTCCTTATAGTGGTTTACCATAGAGGGTTTCCGTTCTCTTATTGCATTAGTTGGTACTAATGGCCAAGGTATTGGAACTAGGTAAGTTCATTTCATACAGAATTTCTTATACATGGGCTTACAGTTTAGAAATAAACTCAATTTGTCTAAGTGTTCAGAAGTATTTGTTTTTGCCCAATTGATTTGCAGATATGCTTGTACATAGGTAGATCCAAAAGTTTCCAGCCTCACCTAAATAAAAAAATTCCTTTAGCAATAAATTCCTCTTGAATCTATATGGTGACTGTATTAAATGGAAATTTCATTAATGAAGTCATCTGCTTTCTTCTCTATTTACAATATGAAGTAATGTGCTACTTTGTTCTGAAATGCTTAAAAGTGAATATTATTGTGCAGTTAAATCTTTGATGAAAACCTTAATCACTAAGAAGTAAAACAACACTCAGGTCATTTGTTTTGTGATTCATCTCCTTCCTGTTCCACAGTGGAAGAATCGGTAAAACCATTCAACATGAATTCAGATCCTGAGACTGCAGAGAATGCAGTCAATTCTCATGAAGTTCAACTGTCAGATTCAATGACTTAAAAAAATACAAACTAATATGTTTTGCATATTCTACATGAACACCTTCACTGGAACAAAGTCTCTGCGAATAAGTAATTGATTTCTTTTAGCAATTTAAAGACAGTAATTTATTTGCTGTAAGCTACTCTTGCACACTTACAGTGCAAATCAGAAAATTTTGTTGCAGTCTATTGTAATTGATAATGAAACAACAATCCTATATCAAATAGAGAATCAGTGAAGTGGAGAAATTCGGCTGAAGCACTCTCCCCCCCCCTCCTCCCAAAAAAGCCAAAGGTACAGTGGTGAAATAAGGGGAATGTTGAGCTGCAGAGTTCTTTATCTCTTTGTTAATGTTGTTCTGTATTCAGCTGTTGTTGCTAAATAAGTGATTACCATCTGTTCTTCAAACTGAAATGTTAGCTTTAAACTTTATGGAAAAGAGATTAATAGCATTTTAAAAACAAGGAGTTATAAGCATTTTGAGGAAAAATCTTCAGATTACTTTTCAGGGGCATAGACTTGTTCATTAAACGATGTGAAAAATTTATCAAAAGAGGTTTTATTGAAATTTAAACTTAGAATTATATCAGACCACAAACTTTTGGATCTACGTATACAGTTTTGTATGAATGTTTCTACATTTTTAGCCCATGAACTAATGCCGTAAGTGCTAATGGTTGGCATTTGTAAAATAAATAAACATTTTTAAAAGCTGTAATTTGAAACTTTGCACTGGCTTTAAAATTGCATACTGAATGTTTTGAATTCACAGATGATCTCTTCCATTATGTAAAAAACAAGGATAACATTAATCATCATTTATCTGATTTAAGTGTATTGGCGAAGTAGTTAATTGAATTAGGTATGATTTAATGATGTACAGTGAATACATTTTTGTTTTAGCTAAATATATCTCTTCATATTCTTGTGCCACTAAAAATAATTTTTTATATATAATATTGTATATATTTGAATATATAAATGTATTTAAAATGATTGACCTGATTTTAGATAAGCATAATTTCTCACTTATTATTTATACTTTAATTTGATTTGCACCAAATGAAAAAGAAAACCTGTAAGTTTTAAAATGTCATTAAAATTGCAATCTTGTTTTCTTAACTTGTACTGGAATATCCAGAGACTGTAGAGATGATGAAGAATACATTTGATCAAGAATATAATTATCTTTTAAGTATATGTGTAATGAAAAGAAGTCGTCTAAAACACTCTTAGGTAAACCTTGAATAGTTTTTCATTCAAGTTTTATTTTACTTCTCTTTTTATGTATGTAAATTTCAGGTACACACAGTTGTTTGAAATTGGGTTAGTTATTTTAAGTCATCCAGTATAATAATAATAATTTTTTTTTGTCAGTTTGATTATGTGCAAAGAAAGTACAATACTAAATAGTTAATATTCATAGTATATTTATTTCCACTGCTTACTTAGTGAACAATAAATCTGTTTGTTGCATTTTGATCAGTTTCTTTGAGTCACCCAGTATACTGGATTGTTGTCAATTTGATTATACGTAAACCAAATAATAATCAATATTTGTAGTATATTTTATATTCACTGTTGACTCAGTGAACAATAAATCTGTCCATTGCATTTTTAATCTGTTCTTAGAAAGAAGAATGGAAACTGAGATTTATTTGTAAATTTGTCAAAAATAAATCTAAAGAAGTTTCAATATCTGAATCTAAAAATTCAAATGATGTTTAGGAGAAAAGAAATAATATTGACATGAGAAGTATTAATTAGAATAATTAATTAAATTGTTTGAAAATAATTAAGCTGTGCTGATGGAAAGAGATGATGAACTTGTGCCATACATTAGAAAAATCGTTACATAAGTCAATGGCTTAAAATCGGTCTGAACAGGAAATAGATTTATTGTCGTCCGGGTATATGTAAGCAAATATCAAATAAAATTTTTAAAGCAAACTTTATTATCAGCAAGTTCCATTATATATAAATTTTAAATCTTATAAGACAAACAAAATGAATTTCTGCTAAATTGCTGAAATTAGGTTTGATTTTTTTTTTTTTGATGGGTAAGCTTGAATTCTATTTTTTTAGAGAAAATTTTTTATTGAGCCATATGTAGTTTTAAAAACAGATATGATTGGTATTTTAAAAAGATATGTATAGGTATTCTTTGCAAAATTTTTACAAGTGGTTTTTTTTTTTTTTTTTTTTTTTTTTTTTTAAGTTTGCCTTTTTTAACCAGCATTAATTCTTCATTTATATTCTGTTTCTATCAAATTAGTTTATTCATTCTAAATAAAAAAGGGCTGAATGCAAAGTGAACTAGTAGAGTTTTCTGAAGATTCATTATACAATGACTAAAATAAAATGAAAGTGCCACATACAAAATCATAGTCTCATGAGGTAGTGCTTTTATTTATTGAAGGTTAGCTGCAGGAGTTCCAGAAAAGAAGTATATGCATACAGAAAAGGGCTTGGAAATAACTGACTTGTTACATTATGCAAAAGGAGCTACATTTTTTATTTATTTACATCTTTTATTCATTATATTAATACTATGTAACAAAAAATATTCTTAAAATATTAAATTGCATTTACAGTTGACTGTAGAAAATGGAGAGATATCACAGAGCAAAAAATTAACACTCAAAAATAGGTATAAGAAGGTTGAAATAGCCCAAAGAGATATTTTTTGCATGGGTAGAGTATTAAATAAAAATATACATTCTGAGTAGGGTTATTATATTTTGAGCTAAAAATGAGATCATCATATTATGCAATGTGCACACCTTAAATCATAAAAAATGAGGGCACTATTTCTAATGGGCCATTCCAAATGCATTCCAAAAGAACATTTTATAAATTTACACATTGTGCAAAATATTTTTTAATTTAGGAAATTAAAATGAAGTTTGTTTAATATGCCTCATATTTCCTAAATTATTATAACTTAAATATGCATATGGAAATATATAAAAACAACAAATAACTCAAAATTTAACAGATTTCAGCATTTGACATAAAAAAAAATCTGTAAATAGTTCATGTCACATATTTAGTAATTTTAAGCAATCACTGTAAAGAGTTTTGACAGCATTTCAGAAATGGTTTCAAACTTTTGTTTTGTCTGTCCAAAAGTAGGTCTTCAGTTTTTATAGTTAAATCCACAGTTTCAGTTTTCAGGCATTCATCTTGGATTTGAATATTTCTTCTAGTTCTTAATTTCATCCTTTAAGCTGACAATGTTCCCAGGAAATTGAAAATATATGGCAATCCTAATTTTGAGGGTTCAACAAATTGCCTCTGCAGTGTAAATAATGTGGATATGAGTTATAGTTTTTTCTTTAGCTAAGCATGTAGTCTATAACCCAGCTGTTAACATTATTATATAGAAATCCGGAGACATGATAATTTGATTTTCAAGATATGATGAACTTATTTCCATTTCTATTCAGGAAAAATTTAAACAAAAATGATGTTCAACTAGAAACAGCTGCATGAATTTGAAGAGAGAAATATAAGAGGTGCAGACAATAATAGTACATTAAGGAGGTAACTGCAAAAGAATTCAAGCTAATTTTAAATCATACTGAGCTTACTATAAAAATTTAATATTATGCTGATAGTGATATGGAACAAAGCTTCTTAATCTGTTATAATCTTGAAAAAGTTATGGCTTTAAAAAAAAGTAATACCTTTATTTTATCAGTAAAGCCAATACTTTTTTTTAATTACAATTCAAAATGAAAAAGTGTTATTCAAACATATTTTGTGTGTGTGTGAAAGAGCAAGAAAGCATCTCTGTCAGATGTACAGATGTCACATAAAAATGTAAGGAATTTGCCTGTGATGATTTTATCTTCTTCATATTTTTGCCTCAAATTTATTTCAACTGATGGTTTATTAAATGCTGGATTAATCACATTGAGTTTTCCCACATAGGTTATTGACAATTCCAGCTCAGAATATACCAGCATGTTTGATGTATCATAAAAATTATATCAAGAGCTTATTTTATTTTGCAATTTTTATTATTTGTTTGAATATTTTAGAAACAGATGGATCTGTATCATTTACTGGAAAAATTCTTGTAATAGATTATATTATAAGGTTATTCTCCCACTTTCCTAGCGTGCCTTCGTGGTGTAGTGGTTCTGCACGCTGGGCCAGTATTCCAGAGGTCCGTAGTTCGATTCCCGGCGAAGGCGGTTGCTAATTTTTCATCTTACCTGCTTCCAAAAAATACCTAATGTCTCTACAATATGACATTACGGCTTCTACAATATGACCTATGGCTTCTGTTATTCATTGTATGGTAAACCTGTCATTCGAAATCAGTGTGTTTTATGTGTGTAAATTTTAAACTATGCTTGTCTGCTGGTATAAATATTATTAAAAAGTGGGAGAACTTAGAGGGAACTTTGGGAAAACTTTCTATAACATGACTTTCAGCTTTGTGTGAAGAGCATACTTAAATTATCACATATGCATGGGGAGTAACAGGTACCTGTTATTGTGTGCATAAATTTCATATTGTTAGATGCTTATCTAAAGTAAAATTTTAATTAGTCTCATTTTAAAGATATTTGATTAATGAATCTATACTACATAAAGATTCCATATATAGACAGGGAAGAAAAATTATGTAAGTGAGCATGAATGTTATATGGTTTGTCTTTCTATAAAATCTCTTCTGAAAAAAATAATAGTGTACTAGCATGACCAAATATTTAATTTGGAAGAAGACTTTTGGTCATCATTTTCAGAGAAAATGAACAATTAAAATTAAATAAATTCTATTTTATGTCTGCATGTATGTAAAAGTTACATATGCATATGTGTCTAGGATTTTACATAGTGTATCTTTGGGTGTCTCTATCTAATCTCTTGTTGCAACAGCAGCAGCCGCTTAAAAAAAATCTGTTGGGTCAGTAATTAAAAGATACTTCTCCATATTTGGTTCAGTTTAATTTCTTTTTTGTAAATAATGTTTGTATCAAGACTAGACTCTCCATGGGGCCTCCTTCGATGGTTTATTTTAATTTCTTTTTTGTAAATAATGTTTGTATCAAGACTAGCCTCTCAGTAGAGCCTCCTTCACTGTGGAGAAGGGGCAGCAATGCATGATTGACTATGACAACTCCTCCAAGCTGGTCATTTGCTGTGTCCATATGGTGGGAGTGAACAGTATGGGGTAGATTTGCTGTCTTCACATGACTAATAACCACTGTTTCTATGGTTTTCCATTCAGATACAACAGGGACTCATAACAGTACTGTCAAATCTTACTTGGGCTGTATGATTGCTAGATGTTTCTTAGATACCTTCTGGGCAGTTTGACATTATAACTGTGTATGGGTTATAATGTCATAACATAACACAGTTATAATGACATTATAACTGTGTATGGGTCCATGGACTCGGTCTGGGTGTCTTTCTTTCTGGTGCACTGTATCAAGGCTAATTATATTTTTTGTCATTGTGGCATTCTTTGCTCTTTCGAAAGACTCTAGTTTGAAAATCGCTGCCATTTCTGTGAAATTTGCAAAACCAAATTGTAGTGCTGTTCCTTGAATACTTAATTTGCTTATTCGTGTAATTTTGACTTTAAGAGATAGCATAGTAATATTTTTGAGAGTAAAAAGAAATAAATTTGTATGTTAGAAAGCATGTTTTACTAACAAGAACCTTCTCTCAATTTTTCTGAGAAAAATGTATGCGAATCTACTCATTTAGAGATATATAACAATGAAGGAATGAGCTACTAATATTCTACTGATATATAGTTAAAAAAACTAAAAATTAGACTTGGCTATGGAGTGTTATTGGCAACTTGCAAACTTTTCGAAATTCAGTTTTCAAAATTTGGAAAGTTACTAAATTGATTAAGTCATACAACAAAAATATAAAATAATAAATGAAGAAATAACAGGTAAAAGCTATGTATTGATTGTCAATCTTCAAGTGTTTATAATAGAAAGTTGAATAGAATTGATTGAAATTTAAACTCCAAAACATTAATTCAGAATGGAAGAAATTCTGGAAATCATTTACTGGGGAAAAATGTCCCATATTATAGTTATTTTTGTACGATACAGGCAGCACACACTTTAAGTGTTAGCAGGAGCATTGGTTTCCCCATTAGTAATGTGAATATGAACCATTTACATTTAGAAAACCTTCATTTCTTTTGCTGTCACTAGAAAGCTGAAGCTTTCTCTTACAATAATACAAAGGCTGCAAATTGTTTACCTGCCTAAATTTATTTTGAGCACTGTGCAGTTCATATTTTATCCCATCTTATGTTATGCCAGACTTTAACTGTTTTTTCGTAATAATCTTTTTACATACAATTAAAACTTTGAATCCCCCCAGATTTATTATCTGATGAAACTTCTTTGAATTCACTTTATTTCAACTGATGGTTTACTATTGCTCAACTGAGAGTTTACAAATATTTTACTGGCATGACAATATTGTCAACAAGAATAAAGCAACGCCATAGGCAGGAATGTTTATCAGACTAACAACTCGTACCGTGACCTTCAGCAGGCAGAACACCCTTTGAGTAAATAATCTCAAACCTTCACTTTAATACACACTAGCTAATTTGCATTCTGGCAGGAAAACAGAAAGAGAGAAGTGATAGTACGAATTCGAAACATAAAGTAACTGGTTAATTAACATAATTAACTAATATATTTATTTCCAGAAGCAGTCTTTTCAACTGATATGTGTGAGGATTTTTTTCTGTTGCTTCAGGAACCATAATTTGCCTTGGACTTTCAAATTCTTTTAAACTTTTTGAAGAAGATTTTGAGATATCTTCTTGCATAAAATCTCAGTTTCAAGTAGAATTTCGAAACTATATTCAAACCATAGCTGTGTTTCAGTGCATTTGTAAATATTATCGTTATTTATTACACATTTATTTAAATAAATTTTATTAGAACTAAATGGTTCATCAGATTTTGTAATTATTAATAAACATTTTTCTCATTCTATCTATATTCAGCAGTTTTCCCTAGTGTATTATTAGAATTCAGTAACAATTTTCCTCTGTTTCAGTTATGTTACATGAATTGAACTTTTGATTTCAGTGCATTTGGTGTGTGGGTAAAAAACTGTGATTCACTGGACTTACCTTATGAAGAGAAAGAAAAGTTAAATACATTTATTCATGAATTATATGAGAGTATTGAAAAAGGTAGTTTTAGCTCTAGATGTCTTTCCTTCATATGACTTAGTTATTTTAAGTGTTTTTTGAGTTTCATTACAACTTGTGTAAAATTTATGAACAGAATGTTTATATTAAAATTAGGCTTGGAAATTTCAGCTTAACTTAATTTTTAATATTAACTTATTTTTTAATATTGACTTTTATGACATAACGTTAAATTTTTTTAAGTATTTGGTCTTGCTTTTTTAATAGTTTATTTTAAGGTGCATTTTTGAAGATGTATGTATTTAGATTTGTATATTCAGTTTTTAATTTCTGGTTTGCTTATTTATTTATTTACTTATTTTTGGTTGCAGTTATCTTTGTCTGCATGTTAGTTATATCTTTAAATTTGGAGTATAGTTTTCTTTGCATCTGTATAATCTTCAGTTCTCAGGTAAGCTATGCAAAAAAATATTTACATATGTTTCCATGCCCATGTACTGTGTGAAACATTTGTCTGTGACTTTTATTCATTTTGATTATTTCTCCAAATAGAATCACAAATGCTCAACAGTACAGTCTTGTAATCAGTTTTATGTATTTTTGAAACAAGGAAAAGGACCCAGATATCCATAACGATAAGCATTTTCATCAAAAAAGGTGTACCTTTAAGTATGATGCCAAACCAGTGATATACAAACTTTTCATAAATGCTACCGAATTCTGGTGTCTTAAAGCTACACAAGAATTTAATATGCACCTACTCTGGCTAATTCAGAACATTAAAACAATCTATGCATTATTCATTTTATTATATGCAACTATTGAATGAAATTTGACAAGTTTATAAACTTTAAGCTGAACAACGTTTATCAAAGCTGCCTAAATCAGTATTGTACTTCTTCACAACATGTGAGAAGAAAAGTATTTATCTATTACAGGTGAGGGCTAATTTGTCGGGTAATGTACCTTGGTATGTGTATTTCTGAAACAGATATGCTGGTCTTAAACAAGTGATATTTGCAGCCACTGGAATGCCAAGCCTGACTGGTGCCAAAAATCAGTGAAAGATGTCTCCTCATTTCATGAGCAGTATTAGGAGATGTGGTCCACAAGGCCTCTAATTCAATCATGGCCGAGCACTTATATGTTATCTGTCACAATCATTGCATTACTATGTACTTCTTGTCTGTTTCACTTCAGATGACTGGTGTAGGCTGATAATTCATTTTAGGACATTCATTTCAGGTGGCAGGCACAAGCTTCTGTGAGTTGCCTGCCAGAAAGTTCCAATTTCTTGTCCTATGTTAACTTTTTATTGGAAGTTATTGAACAGCATGTACCATAGCAAAGGTATCAGACAACTGAAGAGGGAAAAGATGTGAATAAGGCATTTACAAAAGTCATGAAGCCTGTTTTCTAATTGAGTCATCAGAATCATGGGTTTCCTCCCTTTTTTTTTTTTTTCCCAGGCCCACCAGTGGTAAAGTCTTTGAACACAAGTAGTTTTGTCTGGGGTTCGAATCATGGCAAACAGGCTGGCTGCATGGACGTGTTCATGGTTTTCCCCATGGGTAATGTGGATGAGCCAGTTTTCCTTAGAAAGTTCTCTATGAAGGCATCCCTCCCCATAGGCATATAGCCCTTGAATTCTTTGCCATAATTAAATAAACCAAAAACCCAACCAACCTTTTTTCCCATGTTTCCTTTTTATTGTTACGTTGTCCTTAATTTCTCCTACCTCAGGAATAAAATTTGCCAAAATTTGGGCCACTATATTCATGGGTTGAGTGGGCTGTGCCTATACCTTAAGTTGGCGGTGTATCATAAAATTTTGCACACATGTTATTGCAGCTGTAATGGCATCCACACTGATGTTCCAAATGAGTAAACATTAACATAAGCTATCAATCAGTGCCAGTCATCTGAAGTTGCATGTAGATATGAAATACACATCTGTATGGAGGAAAATAAGCATAACTAGGGCTTAGACCATTCTGAAGAGTCTTGAGTAAACAAAAAGATTTGTGAATAACATATTCTTTCACAAACTGTATCTTCAGTACTAAATAAAAATTCCTGAGAATGCATTAAAAATTAATATTTGTGGCAAACTAGAAATGTCTGCGTAAAAAAATTTAACGAGAATTATCTCTATTAAGAAAAAGCTAAATTTAATTGCCGTAGGTGGATGCCAAAGTTAGATTTATTGCATTTCAATTTACGTCTTAAAGTAACATATCTCACTACAGTTACTTATTTAGGTATAAAGGAAATCAAGTGAATTTTTGTGATGCATAATTATGTATAGAATTTAATATCATAGAACTTAAACTGAAAATGAAAGCAATTTATTTAATAAGTGATACAGATTCTGGGAAGTACTTTTTATCTGTTTGATGGAAAGCTGTTTTAAAATGTTTTATCTAACAACCATTAATGTTGTGTGTGAGAAAGTGAGCTTTTAATCTGAAATCAAAAGGCTAAAAGGGAGCAACAAATTCTATCATTGATATTAAGGACTATGATTGTTCATTTGTATTGAAAGGGTCTTTTTTTTGTAAATTGTCATGAATTCAAATTCATAAAATGAGTTTTATTTTGATCTAACCTACTTTCCTTGGGTAGCCACATAAAGTAGCATTCTTTTTCTGAAATATTCTTTTTTGTCATTTAAAATCTTTCAGCTATAAATTTTTTTTACCCCCTGTGAAGAATTTATTTATTTTAAGGAAAATTACTTACATTTACTTACTTTTATTTTGTGTATATTTTAATAATATGCATGTGTTTTACTAGAAACAGGATCATTCTTGAATAATGAAGGCTCTGGACTTTATCCTTTGCAGAGTGCATGTGAGTAGATTTCTATTTTTGAGTCATATATTTGTCATTAATTAATAAACTGAAAGGTTGTTGCATAAGGCATAGTTACCGACTATGTCTAGCTCCTGAACAGTAAATGGTTTCCTTAAAACAATCATTTTTTAAAATATTAAAAACGGTGATTTGAACCCTTGATAAATCCATCCAAGTCAGATACTTTGAGCTTTATGGTATTTTAAATTTGTGATCTTATATTTTATTTATAGCTTCTTTTACTGAAGGTGCTTATTGCTTAAGTAAGAAATGTCTGTTGTAAGTGATAATCTGAAATTAGTTTTTCTCTGTCTGTAAAGTTTTAAAGCTTTCCCTGATTTGATTTTCTAAGTTTATGTTATTACATATTCCTTAATTTGGTGTAGTATATTGCTGCTTTTCTTCCAGATATAATGTATTACTTTTTTCCCCTTCAGGTAATCATAGTTGTTTGCCAAATGCAGAAGCAACATTTCCTTACAATAATTTTACTCTGGTTATGGAAGCCATAAAAGAAATTCAACCAGGAGAAGTATGTTATCAAACCTAAATTTCTATGTAAATTGGTTAAATTTCAGGTTTTACTCTTGGACAACTTATTTGCCTCATCAAATCACATGAAGACAAATGTCACTAAGATTTTTCCTGTTATTCACGAGTCAGAGAAAGTTGTTTGTCAAAATAGAAAGTGTTATTAATGCACTAATCATGTTATCTACTAAGGGTAAAGGTACACAATGAAAACGTATTATGTAGACCTCCTGCCAGTTCCATGTTTTAAATAACAACAAGCTTTAAGTAGAGTATCAAATGATACTTTACTTAAAGCTCATTGCTATGTAACCCCTTCTTGGTCAGTGTTACATGTTCAGATCTTTGTGCCAGTGCGGTTGGCATCACATGTCATGCGACAAAAAGTAAAATTACATCACTGAGAGTGAATTTCTCACTACATCTCTCATTATATATTCCACAATTTTTTTTCATTTTTTGGTGTTTTTGTATATAATTAAGAGTTGCTGCAACTAAACTTTCTTCACATTATTTTGAGTTTCCCACCTTGAGTCGGAAACATAATCATTTTCTATTTTCTATAATTTCGCTTTCTTTAGTTACTGCTGCATGTCAAAATAGCTTTTATGGTGGATTTCAGAGTGTGAGTCTGAGGGCAGTGAATAAAATAGCCAAGATTTTTTGACAAAGTAATCATTGAAATAATTGCAATGTGGTTTTTTATGCTCTGATGGTCAAAAAAAGATTAAAACTGTTTTCATGTAATATTGCAAAACTAGTTTCCAAAACATTTTTTACGTACTTTTAACAATTCATTTTATGCAGTTACCTCAAAGCAATATATATAATATATGTATATATACAACTATCTATCTATATAGTGAAGTAAAAATTTGGAACTAAATTAAATATAAATTTAGTTTCAAAAAATTTTATAAATCCCAACCTATTTTTTATCTCTGTGCAATGGTAAAAAAAATTGAGTAACGTCGTGTCATTGAAGGGTACAAAGTAAAAAACTAAAGAAAAACATAAAAACTACTGTGTAGGAGATGAGGGAAAAATACACATGCTGTACAATCTTAATATTATTTCATTATATGTATTTTTTTGTGAAAATCTGTTCAGATCTTCAAGCAAAGTATAACTTTCAGTTTCTCACCTTAAAGCAAGATCTAAAATGTTGTTCCCATTCGTTTACAAAGTCGTCCTATTTGTCGTTTTATGTCCCATTCATTGTTCTCATTACAATAGATGCTGCTTAATATGGTTGCAGTTAATGCCATCATTTGGATATTGTGCCCACCAGCGGCCGAGCGGTAAAGACGCTGAACACTGGTAGTTCGGTCTGAGGTTCGAATCCCGCGAACGGGCTGGCTGCATGAGCGTTTTCGTGGTTTTCCCCATGTGTAACGTGTATACGAGCCAGTTTCCCTTAGAAAGTCCTCCACGAAAGGCATCCCTCCCTTTAGGCAGATAGCCCTCGTGTGCTTTGCCATAATTAAATACACCAACACCAACACCATTTGGATATTGTTCCTGAATTATCGAAGTTCCATCCGTTTGCAAATGAACATACGAAAAATAAAGTTGTGATCAGCAGTTCGGTTAATGTTTTCAAAGTATTATAAAATAAATTTTTAACTGAAGTAATGTCGCCAAATAAGGTCAAAATCGATTATGAAAACTGCCAAGTAAGGGATTAAGGCACCAAACATCTTGTTTCTTATTTTAGTCAATCATTTAAAATTATGGGGGGACTCAGTTTAGCATAGATTTTGACCAATTCTTTCAATATTGAGGGTGATCAGACACAGGTCCCTCATCTTCAGGAACAAAAAGAATCTGTACAATTTTTCCTTCTGCTGCTGTGGATGGGAACCCTGAAAACATCTATTTTAAACTAAAGTTGTCGTTGTTGTTTTTGCCTAATTTTAAATTTTGCATTTGTATTTTTCTCTTCCAGTTAATGAGAGATGCTATCCAAGTCTTGATTAGTTGGACAGCATATGTCAAACAATTTACAGAAATATTATTAGCATAGTAAGCAATAGTAGGCAATAATTTGTTACCACCAAGATTTGGCAATTGGGTCCCCCACCCCCAGTCACCCTTTAAAATGAAGAGTATGTAAGGTATTTTCTCCCTCCTTTCCACATGCCTTCGGGGTGTAATTGGAAGAGTACTCATACGTATTTGAGAGGTCCAGGCTTCAAGTCCCAGCGAGGGCACTACATATTTTTCACGTATCCTGCTTCATAAGAACATAATGACTGTACAAGTTCATAAAAAAATTTTGCATCTTGCTGATTAAATTTCTGTGAAAGTACTTATTTATGTGTTTCTTGTTGAATTTATATTAAATTAGTTGAATTTTATTGCTGAATATTTTCTCATAATTTAATGAAATCATTAATTTAATGTTGTCAAAATAACTGCGTATTAACATGATCACGTTAAGTAGTGCTTACTGTAAATACTAAAACTGGTAAATTAGGGATTTATTAAAAACTGTTATGGACTTAACAGTTTTTAATAAATCCCTAATTTACCAGTTATGTGAATTATCACTTCCAGTTATCCTGTTTTATGTAATATCTAATAAAATTTTTATATGAATGGAGAAAGTTGAAGTACAGGAAAGGGAAATTTTTGCAAGTTCTTGTATTAGAGTTATCATATCATGGCACATACACACGCAGACAGATAAACATCCTTATAAAAGTAGTAAGGACATGTAGTGGGGAACCTAATTTGTGTTTATTCACTGAAAACTCATTGAATTTTGGGATAGAAACCATTACCTCCCTTACCTATGTATATAGGTTGTTGGACAGTAAAAATTTAGTAGAATGAAAAATATAATGAAAATATGCACTGTTTGTACAAAGGAACACAAATTACCATATTAACCACATGTAATCAGCAAGAAATGATGTGAAATCTTGTCAATTTCATTTGCAACTAACAGGACCTTTTTGCAAATGTAGTAGGACTACAAGGGTAGGCTGAGAGAACTGCAGTTTGAGAAATGCTGGCTTAAAGCATTCATAATATCTCTCTCAAACATAGCAAGGTTGAGTAGCCATTTGCCATTATTCTGGTCCACACTAGCAAACCACTGCCTTCAGATGAATTGTGACAACATCAATTTGATGGGTGGTAATTGTGTTCCTTGTTCTGCTCCTGATAAAGAGTTAATAGCTGTTGCTTTGTAAGCTGAAATCACGATTTATCAGTAAAGAAAACAGGAGCTGGATCATCCTTTCTGTGAAAATATGGGTTTCTTGAATGAACTTGTCTGCAGAAGTTCTAGTGAACTAGAGGATAAGAAGTGAGATGAAGAGAAACTGCATATATCCTACCACATAGGTCAATTCCGTTAAGTTTCTATAGTTTATTTTGATACATTTTTAATAGTGACTATGAAAATGTTCCTTGATGGTTTGGGTGTACTTATTCATTATAAAAGCTAAATAGACATTGTTTCTTGGCATTATACACCTTGTATTGGTTTGGCCTTTTGTTAGGTTCTCATAGCACACCAGAAGTCTCTCAAATTGCTTCCACAACCATAACACTGCTTTCATGTAAAAGTGTAAATCTATTACAATAATCTTGCTTCGGGAAGAAATTGTGTAGGCTGATTAATTTGCATGTAACTGTTTCCTAGCATCTGATATGCAAATGTTTCTTTACAGAATTGTTTCTAATGAATATTTGCATTGACTGTGCAATATTTGTATTCTTTTAAATAGTAGTTTTAATGAAAGAGCAGAATAGTATATCCTTCAGACTTCTGTATGTCAACAAGTGCTTTTTTACCTGACCAGTTATCAATTAATATGTAATAGTTGCCAACGTGCATGCAATTGTGTTAACTTTCTTTCTTATATTTTAGCTTAAATGCTATATGTGTTGTTGAGTAAATATATATCCTCGTTGTTAAAAAGTCAGCTGAAATTTTTTTATCTCCTATTTCAGTCTGTAGAGGTACAAGCTTATATTTGCTCTCTGGTATTAGGCTAGAATCTAAAAAATTCCGATTGTGAAATTTTTGTTTTAGTACGTATATTTTTACATCTCGGGAAATATGAGCATTGTTTGCATTAGTGTGTGTGAAACAATAACAGTTAACATAATAATTTGTCATCTAATGATTAGTTTTTTTACAAGCAACTAATATAGCTGACCCATGATATACTATTCAAGATTTTTCATCTGTAAAAACTTAAAGAGAATTTTATAACTTTTTATCGATATATTTTTGAATTTTTCCATAGCTTTGGTAATATAATGCCTTTTTCCTGAGTGTTTCAAGAGCTGTTAAGTATATATAAAAAAAATTATTTGAAAACTCTCATATGGTTGATCCAGTCTCGTTTTCAACCAGTTTATGCTTCCCCCAAACTCCCACCCTTTATTTTTTCATGTACTTCCTCAAATTGCTTGAAATTCAACAGGTATGATATTGGCTAGATTTTTTAGCTGAACATCTATCGAAAGATAAATAGAGTTCAACTTTGTTTAAAGGACAGTGCAGTTTCAAAAAAAAAAATTCTGAAAGGTCGAAAATATTGAACTGAAAATTTCAATTCAGTTAAGCACAAATAATGTTGTGATATTAAAATTAATGTAGGAGTTGGGAGAAATGCAAAGTAAATAACTAGCTGAATACGCTATAACATTCTGAAGCCAGTGGGAGGATTCAGTAGCTCAGAGCATGTATTTCACATTCTGCTCTATGAAGGAGCTTTTTAAGATGTAGCTCCAGAATGTTAGTCTCTCCATATTTAAAATGGTACAAAAGTACAACTTTGAAATGCATATTCATCACTGAAGGCATATTGACTTTGAAATGCATATTCATCACTGACTTTGAATGCATATTCATCACTTTAGTGATATAACCAAAACTATATCAGAACTTAAACACATGTAAAAAGAATATTAATTGTTGATTCAAATGTGTTATATATCATAAGTAATAATTTGGTACAGAATTCAACACAAAACAGACACTACTCGTATGCCGTGTAATTATGAAAATGTAAAATAAATTTAGAAAAAAAAACTAATGATTTTTTGTTTGTTTTTTGTTATTTTCTTCTTCCCAATAATTTGTCATCTATAAAACTCAACTTAAATTCCTTGATATGTCAATTTACCAAGGTTTCATTATACTAAATTGATATGTTAAAATTATCAACTTAACATTGACAATTTATATTAATTAATGTTCCTGTATTGTCCATATGTGTTGCTTATAAATATTTTCATTATATATTTTTGATTAAAGGACACATTCTAAGAGTGTTTTATGTTTATATATCCTAGTCTGATGATTTTGCATGTTAAAAGATAATCTGTCATAAAATGTCTTATTTAAAAATGTTACTACTGTGATACTCTTAGGGATGCTGTCTATGTAATTATATTAAATATATAATTTGATAATTTTATGTTCCTCCATTTAGGAGATAATTGTTTGCTACTTGGATGAGTGCAATAGAAACCGCAGCAGGCACAGCCGAATTAAACTTTTGAGGTGAGATAAAAATAACTATATCATTTTTTCAATTTTTTAGGTGAATTGTGAAATCACTTTGTATATTAGAAATAGTAATTATTTATAATGCACTTTCAAGTCCGTCATATGGTGATGTAAATTAATTACTTTGGTATTTATGTCAAAGATTGATTTCCAGGGAAATGCATTGATTGTATAAAATTTTCATGGTTCCCATAGATGATATTTGTCTATCAGGTACTGGAAATTACTATTCAGAAATTCTTAAGAGGAATCTGTCTTTCTCTGAAGCAGATATCCCTCATATGCTTTTCATTAATTGATGGTTTACGTATTTTAATATCTTTTAATATATTAAAATATGTTATTAATAGTTTCCACCATTTAAACTTAGTATGAACTAAAATATGAATGTGTTAGAATAATTGAGGCATTAGATGAAAAAGAATGTTTGTCCTTATTTGTTTTAGAAACATTTCAAATAACTGAACTGCTGTGAAGATACTTGAGGCATTGTTTCAAGTAATGCAGGCAGCAATTTTTTAAGCCTGTTTATTCCCATTTCCATGATGTAAGAGTCATATTTTATTTTGTCATTAATATTTTAAAAGTGTAGAACAGATGTGTTAAACATACAGTTTTTAGAGCTCGCAAATAATGTCCATGTCCTATAACAGAGAGATGAATGAAAGTCTTATCACATAGGTTCCTGAATTTGAAAATGAAATCTATGTTGTTGATTTTTGTTCGATATGCTGCTTATTTACATCAACTTAATCTATGCCTTTAGTCTAAAACCAACTAACAAAGAATATTTAAAATTAATCTGAAACTTCAAAAGTTTCACCTTAAGTACAATAATTTAATTCCTTCCAGATAAAAAGGCCTACCAGTGGCCAAGCAGTAAAATCAGTCAAGACTCGAATCTATCGGGGTTAACTTTTAAGTGAAAAGGGTTGCTGCATATTCGTTTTCATGGTTTTCCTCTTGTGTAACATGAATATGAGCCAGTTTCCTTTAGAATGTCCTCTATAAAGGCAGATAGCCCTCCTTTGCTCTGCTGGTGACATGTCTCTCATTGCCTCACATAATTTCTATATAAATAAAGTCAGATCAACAGAATTAGAAACTTGAAATGGGTATCAAAAACTCTGCAGGAAATAGAATAGTAGTTCTGTGGACTATATCCAAGCAGTTCCACCTAGATCTTCTTTGTATGTTGATTGATAACTTATACTCATCGTCCACTGGACATTATTATGGCAAATATACACGTGTTTTAAGGAGCGTTGAATCCTCTCAAGTAATCCATTCACTATAGGATGGTATGGTTTAATCCAAGTTTGATGAACAACAAGTTTATTAGGAATAATAAGCATGCACAACTCAAATTGTTTGCCCTGATTGGTACTTATGGTGATGGGAACTCCAAACCTAGCAATGCAATGTGTAAAAAACGTTCAAGTGATATTTTCTGCTGAAGTATCTTTCATTGGTATTGCTTCGGGCAATTGGAGGAATCAGTCAGTGAGGTTTAAATGGTAGGAGTATCCTTTCAAAGGTGGCAGGGGCCCGACTATATCCAAACGATGCTGAAAATATTGACTAGGTATGGTGAATGACTGCAATGGTCTATGTGTATGACATATAACTTCAGATTTTTGGTAAATGATGCAAGCACGAGTCCAGGCAACACAATCCTTTGACACAAATAGCCAAACGAAACATGAAAGAATCAGTCTTTTGTTCGGTTGTAACGTTGGATGAGAAAGTCCATGGAGTGAATGAAATACTGCTCTCTGTATTTGGCTGAAAACAAAGGGACATATCTTGTCACCACTTACATCACAATATATATTTAATCCAGTAGGCAATTCCAACTTTTGTAGTTTTAATGAACTACTTTCAGTGGACAACTGATGATTTAATTCGGGATCATTAGGTTGAAATTCAGCAATGTGCAAAACTTGTTATATCCAGCTTATTAATAACAGTAATTTGTGACAATGTATCTGCCACAATATTTTCTGGTCCAGGAACATATTGTTTGTTGGTATTGAAGTGGGCAATATAATTCATATGCCTAATCTGGGTTGTGCAGAATCTGATTTTTTTTCTTAAAAAAATATTAGAGGCTGCTGACATATATATATATTGTAAAAATTTGTCCCTCGAGATTATGTTGAAAATGCCTTACGATGCTGTAGATAGCAAGTATCTTGTTGTAACAAAAGTTTTCCACCAAAAATCGTTCTTAATAAAGTTAGGAAAAAAGAAAACATGAAAGCAGTACCTGTATTGCGGGTAATAATCACCACTCAAATCTATGATTTTTCTGCCAAGGTTTTGGTAGTTTTTCAAAGCCTTCAGCCCAAAAACTTGGTGGCCGTGAGTCCAAAAGCAGATAAACTTCATTTTAGATGTCCTGTGCAGAATAGAAGATAGCACCAGCAAGATGTAGCTGCAGGTGTGAAAAAAGGTCTAAGTCCGAAGGAGCGGTGTTGGGGCTATATGGTGGATGTGGCAAAAGATTTCATACAGAGTCCAGCTGGTGAATGTAGACATCTGGTCTTGCATTATCATGATGAAACATTACCTTTTTGCACCGGAACTCAATTCGACGGTTTCCCTTGATAGCAGCATCAACATGACTAGCATCTGACTTACTTGTACACCTTACTGTCGAGAGTTTTGTTGAAGGTTTGTGCAGTTCATTTGTTTACTATTGGAACACAGCTTATCTGAGACAAGCAGACAAATAAAACAGAATCAATGTTCTTAACTTGTTAAAGCGAATTACATGCTGCAGATGTAAGAAACATGATCATTAGTATTAGCACACAAAAATAACATATTTATTAGATAAAAGAAAAAATTTCTGGTGATAATACAAGCGAAGTTTACTTGTCCATGGCAGAATGGGAGAATGAGTCATACAAGGAGAGAAGGTTTCTCCTTTTGAGATTGAGTCCAATTCCAGTTAGCAGGGATGAGGGGCAAAGTAGCATTGGAGGGTACAGCTTAATCGCTTTCTTTATTAATTGCTCCACAAGTTTTACCTTTTTCCACATATTCTTTGTGGATAATACCATGGCACTACCCCCAGATACAAAGCATGATCTTTTTGTTAGTCAAATTGTGCTTTGCAACGCTGCCGACAGGCTCACTGTTCAGAGACCAACCTTCTTTTCAATCTGTGTAGTTGAAGTAAATCCACTTTTTATCAAAAGTGACAATCTGGTTTAGAATTTTATCCTAGCATTGATATTTGTGTACATTAGTGCAGGCCCAAACACTTCTGTCCTTATCTGCTTGAGTCAGCTCGTGCAGCATCCAGCGATTGAACTGGTACATCAAGTTTATGCGATGCATAGCACGACTAATGGACATGGCACTAACATCTAACTTCTTAGCAAGCTCTCGAGTGGTTGCATTCTGGTCTTCCACAAGTTCTCACAGGCGGGAGTCATCAACATCAGTAGGCCTGCCAGAGTGCTCTTGCTTCTTGAATGTCATAGTTCTTGTTTTTGAACTTTCAGTTCCAGACTTTCACAGTGTCACTGATACAGCATTTAGTACCTAAAGCTGCGTATACATGATTTGGTGACATTATGTAGCTGACGTTTTGCAACAGAACTGGAAATAAATGATGGTTCTAATCTGGTAGCATGATAGATTCCATTTCAGACACCTTGTACTCAATGATAACAATATTTTTCTACAAATTTCAGAACACAATGTTTTAAAGCAAGTCTCTTTCAAATGCCAAAAATTGTTTGACAAAATATAATTAAGCACATTAATGTGAACTACTCGCACAGGCGATATTTGCAGTGGCAGGAAACTTTCATTAAAAACCCGATAATTTTCTATCATATGTGCTGTATTTAGTTTCAGCTGGAGTCAATTTTTTGGGGGGAAAAAACAAGGATTGAAAGTCGTTATTGGGCTGTGGGTGCAAAACATCTCCGACAGCCACATCTGAGACATCGATCATCAATGACAACTGCTGACCTGGGACATGGTAACCACAAATGTCACTAAATTTGAAAAAACAGTTTTACATTTTTCAAACACCACAATTGTTTCTGCTGTCCAAGGAATGGAACATTTATCATTCTTATTAGAATCTTTTAAGAGAGAATCAGGATTTTGCATTGCAAAAATCATAGATAAACATTTAACATTTGCCAAAAATTTCTTTCATTCAGACATTATTACAGGTTTAGAGAAATTATAAATTGCACTTTTTTCAAGAAGAGGACGAACACCTAAAGGAGTAAATTAACAGCCAAGAATCGATATCAATGACCTTTTACTCTTAAAAGGACTTTTAGTTTTAACCCTTAATTTTGCAGTTTATCAAAACTGAAATGGAGATGGGTCTTGTGCTGATCTTCATTTGCTGAAGCCAGAAGCAAATCATCAAAGTAAGGAACACAAAAGTTTAAACTAGAAAGTACTTGATCAGTAAATCTTTGGAATGTTTGGACTGTGTTTCATAAACCAAATAGAGTTTTAAAGAACTCAAATAATCCAAATGGGGTAGTCACAGCTGTTTTAGGCACGTCCTTTGGGTTAACAAGGGTTTGATGGTACAGCCTAGCCAAATAAAGTGTTGAAAAAAAAAATCTATGTACAGTCCTGATTATGCAGTATGGAATACTGGTTGTGAATAATCACAGAATTCGAGCGGCAATAGTCACTGTTAGCCTTATAAATCATATGAAATGGACTGGCACAAAGATTCCGTGTGACATGAGATACTCAAACTCTTGTTGTGCTGCCTGGAGTAAAACTGGTGACAAACATTGAGGTTTAGAAAACATGGGGGGACATTTGGTCTCAAAATAATGGAAACTTGTTGAAGTTTGATTATTGTTGGTTACTTAGAAGGAATTTTTTTTTCCAATAGTGTGCGCTTGCCTGTAATGGGATTGGCCAATACTAAGGCCAGAAATGGTGACCATTTTATTGTGGAGGCACCTAATAGGCGGCCACCATTACTTCCTGTTAAGGGACAGGCAATTCTACATTCATTGCTTTTCCTCGATTCGAACGCGGGATCTTTGGTATCACAGTCAGGCGCCTATAACCACTATGCCTTCTGGGCAGCTAAGAAGGAATAGTGAGTTCAGGATACTCAGCTACTAATTTTTCACATTTAGAGTCACCAAGAAGTACAAATATGCTTAAATCAAACAAACTCTCAAACAATTTTCCAGGCGAAGACAAACCTGTCCGTAAGTGACAGGGCAATTATTAGCAGTGTCAACAAGTAATACATAATAATAATTTATTAAGAAAATCAGCATACATCCACAATGACAAATAACCATGTAAAGGTGCAAAATAAATTTAAATCCAAAGTAAGATGTTTAGTGCCGAATGTGGGAATCTTATTTCCATTCACGGAAACAAAACCAAATCCTGAGAAGGCCTAGAAAACTGGGCATACTTTTTTTGGAATACTGGCACATCCACCCCAGTTTCAATTAAATATTTTAATTTTGACAAGGGGGTCAGCCAAAAGTATACTATTCACCTGGCAACTACCACCTTTGCCAGCAAGTTATTTGATATTTACTTGCCCACTCACAAAAATTTACATGATAGAAACAAATGTCTTCTGTTCACTCTTTATAGCAATTAGTATGTTCGCATGACCTAGTGTGTTGGTATGATTGCCGAAAATTGTGCTTAGGACTGCAAGAATAATGTCCCAAAACAGAGGTTAACTCACCAGCTTACTTTGTCAGTTGCTGTACCTGAAGTTCCAAACAAAATGTAGCAGATTCGCATGGCTCAGGAGTCACAATGGCCATATTACTATAAGAGTGAGATGTGAGCTCATTAATCTTATCAGCGACCACAACCAATTTACTCAAATCCTTTTTACTAAGAGCAGCCAAAATAAATTCTGTGTTATTGGAGAGCCTTACAAACCATAAAGGTCTTAATAAAGATTCATCCTACCCTAATAAAGCACACATATGAGTCAACAACTGAGAAGAGTTCTGATCGCCAAGTTCAAGACCTTGCAACAGAGCCCGAGTTTTCAACACTTCGCTTTCAGAATCTATTGCAGTCACTCTTTGCTTTAGGATATCGTATTTTCCTACAGTGGGAGGTTTTAAAATGTAATCACTAACAGAATTAAGTATGTCAGAATCCACAGCAGAAACAACATGTTTAAATTTTGTTTCATCTAAACTTATACTGGAAACGAAAAACTGCGATTCCGGTCTAATGAACCATAATGAAGGGCTTGTTTTCTAAAAAGGCATTAGTTTCAAGAATTCACTGAAAACATGCAACTTCACATGCAACAAATTCTCATAATTAAACATAAATCCCTTTCTCTGAATATGCCTGGTGTTGCTGGAAATTTATGGATTTAGAATTCATATGCTTGAACCAAATACATGCTTCAACTCCCTTTGGGCTATTAGCAAAATGACAAATTACTAAGTTTTTTTTCCTTAAATAGAAATTTCAGTTAAATTTCTTTATAAAGGAACAAGAGTTGCTATGCAATATTTTAATGGGAATGTTAGCTGATATTAACAAAGAGTAAAAGATTGGCAAAAGGAGTAGAGATTGGTAAGATTTTAATTCTTTTCAACCTCCTACTTTTATAATTCTACAGAATTCCTTTGAATGAATGTGACGTTTTAAATGGCATGGTGTCATCACACATTGCATAGGTACTTCAGTATCTTAATGTCTTGGTTTCTGAGGTTTTTTTTAAGTATGATAAAGTAGTTCCCTCTTGAAAATCTGATAGTGTGTTTTCAATATTACAATATATATTTATTTAGTAGTTTTGGACTATGTTTGCTAATGTTTAATATGCATTTTTGTTTTTTAGAGAAAATTATTTGTTTACCTGCACCTGTCCTAAATGTGAAAGTCAAAGATCAGATGCAGATTTTACCAGTGAGAGTGAAGCAGATGATGAATAAAGACATTTGACATCAGATTTCTTGTTATTGTGATATGATCACTATTTTAAAAAACTAATTGCTAGTTTTAATTATGTAGATTATACTTTCAATGCAATAAAAATAGATTTTCTTTTTTGACTTGTTAATTTATATTTGAATGTTGTGCAGTAAATGTTTGTAAACTGGTTTCAAAGATTAATGATTATTTATTTAACACAAACTGTTTTTCATTCTATATATCCTTCACAGCCAACTCCCAATAACAAGGTAGTGTTAAGAAAAAGGAGAGTTTTTTTTTTTTTTTTAATTGCAGACTAATAGAAATTTGTTATCGTCAACTGTCAGTTATAAAACAAAATTATCTACAGTAAATACAAAAAAGAGGGCAAAGAAAACTGTAGCAATAATAAAAATATAGCAGTAGCATTCAAAACTGAAAATCAGAAGGAAATTAATGCTGCACATTACAGTTAATAGAATTTTAAACTTCTATAGTTAAATATAAAGCTCATCATTTAATTAATTTCTTTTATAAAGTTGTGGTAGTTTTTCACAAAAAATATAGTTTAAAAAAGATTACAAAAGGGAACATTGGTAACTGCATAAGGTTATCTATAGTAAAGTTGTTGAATTAATTAGTTCATTTTCAATTTTTGATTGTTCAAATTTCCTTGCTTTTTTAGTAAGCCAAAAAAAAAAATATGAATGATTCAAAAATGTAGGTAAATAGAGGTAAAGATATTCCTCATTCCTTCTTGCTCACAATCCATTATGCGAATGTATATTTACAATGTTTAAAACCTGAAAACGCATGTCTGGGATGTTATAATTTTTTGATGATTTGTAGATGCTTTATTGTTTACAAGGATGTTTTTTAACCGCATTATTTTTGGCAATGATGTTTTCTCCCGCAATGTTTTGTATGATGATGTTTTTGCTTTACGTTGGCTTCTCCGTGCATGTTCGTCCATGATGTTTTCTCGTTTAACCCTAGACTTAAAGCAAAGTCAGAAAAAAAATCGAGCTGCTAGTTGACAGACTTTTGGCATAGATGATGGCTCCTTTTAGTGCTTTAATTTCAGCTTGGTGAATCATTACTGAAATTACCCAACTTGTGGGCGAAGATATTGAGTAATCTCATTTTCTTGACTCCGCTTGTTTCTATAGCCATCAGTGAAAATTGTTGCCGACGTTATAGAGAAGCAATTCATGTTGCGCTTATTGTCAAACATCCAGAACAAAATGTGTAAGTTCTTAAAATATTATTTTCAGACTCATTTTGGATATAAAAGCTATCCCACCGAGTAATCATATGAGTAAGCAAAGTTTGCAAGGCATTATATATTCCACGGCTGCAAAATTTTGAGTGCATACGTCAGGTTATGCCATACTTGCTAATTAACGATGTTAATTATAACCTGGCCAGGTATCTAAATACACTCATGTCCATAAATTAAGGATAATTCGGAGTCTCGTGGAAATCAAACTCTAAAATAAATATATCACCTGTAAAATCACTACACACATCTTCAATGATCACTACACATATGCAAATTTCAGGAAGTAACCAGATGACACGGATGGTACGTCACAATGACGAGAGTGCAAGAGATAGATATATAAGGAATACAGGCAAAGAAGTAAAATTGTTCGCAGGTGCATTATAAGCATTTTAGTGCAATAACCGAATAGTTATGACACAAAGGACACATTTGGATGATTTTTTACTTGGTAGAATAATCGGCCGTCTGGAATGTGGGCGTACCCAACTGGAAGTATCAGACGAACTTGGAATTGCCCAGAGTGTCATCTCCAGGCTTTGGCAACGATTCCAAGATGATGGTAATGTGAGTAGACATTACAGCACAGGTCGCCCCAGAGTTAAAACACCAAGTGAAGACCGGTATTTGGCAGTTACTACCAAAAGAAACAGGTGGAGCACAGCCTCAGACCTGTCTCGTCAGCTCTCTTCAGCCTCGAATTTACGAGAATTTCAAGGCAGACCGTGTACAGGCGCTTAGGGCAGATCGGTCTATATGCTCGTAGACCTGTCATATGCGTTCCACTTACTGCAACTCACTGTTGCCTGCGGTTAGCCTGGAGTAGAGAGCATGCATTGTGGACACCGCAACAGTGGGCTTGTGTGATGTTTTCCGATGAGTCCAGGTTAAGCTTGCAGTCTGATTCTCGCCGGACTTTCATATGGAGAGCTCCAGGTACCCGTTACCACCAAGAAAACATCATTGAACGACACCGTTACGGTGGTTCAGGAGTGCCCATTTGGGGTGGAATTATTCTGGGTTCCAGAACTGACCTGCATGTTCAAATTGGGACCATGACAAACCAAATCTATCGGGACGTCATTCTGGAACAACATGTACGTTTGTTTCGGGGTGCTATGGGCGCACAATTTGTGTTTATGGATGAGAATGCCCATCCTCACAGTGCAAACATTGTAAGCGAATGCATTCAATCGGAGGATATCACCCATATGGACTGGCCAGCATTCTCACCGGACTTGAATCCAGTAGAGCACGTGTGGGACATACTTGGCCGACGAGTTGCAGCCTGTCAACCTCCTCCTACATGTCTACCGGAACTTCGGAGAGCATTGCTTTTTTGAGTGGTGTAATCCCCCAAGATCAGATTGATAATTTGATACTCAGCATGCCTAGGCGTTGTACGGACTGTATTGCATCGTCTGGGAGACATACAATGTATTAACAATCATACCAACCATGTAATATTGGTTTTTTGTAAATAGGTTTTTTTTGTAATTTGCTCCAGAGAGAAAAAATTGCTATTTTTTTTAATAATATCAAACATATAGCATCTTTTTTCGCTCTTTACCTTTTGTTTAATAAATTAGCTTTACAAATAAGTCAAATTTGTTTTGCTTCTAACTCTTCCTTTGCCTGATTTTGTATCATCCTTAATTTATGGACAGTGTAGTATAAAAACTACTTTGCCAACTGAACTGATAGGCCCATACCCATGTAAAGAAGTCAGTAAAAATAGATATTTACTCCTTATTGTAAATCCTTTTCTAAGTGGGTAGAAATAGTCCTCCTAAGAAGAGCCTCGGCTAAGATCGTTTCAGCGCCTTTCCTAAATAAATATTAAGATACGGAGCTCAGTTAAAAGTAATCTCGGATCATTGGAAACAGCTTAGTAGTCAAATATTTGAAGGACATGTGCAAAGCTTAAGATACGACATTTAAAAATGGTACTTTCAGCTGCAGTCAAACATAGCGGAGTGGGTCAGTAAGAATACAGTTAAAATTATTCCCTGCTATTTGAAAAACTATCATAAGCACTGGGATAGTTGAGTCAACAAGTTAAAATTTGCTTTAAGGCCTTCTAAACATGACACGAGAGGGAGGCGCCAGCAGAAATACTATTTTTAGGAAGAAAATTAATTGCCACACTGAATAAATTATTTTTTGTCCAAAAGAGAATACCAGAATTTAAAATGTGGGATATACAAAACTTAATAGATGAAGTAATAAGAAATTCAAATATTGCAAGGGGGAAGTAAATGCTATACCATGAAAGGAATAGGCGAGACGTTAATTATTATGTGGGAGATAAAGTCCTTAAATTAAACATTCATTATCATGTGCTGGGGAAGATTTCCCAGCTTTGAAGGACCATATGCGATTGAAAAAATTCGGGAGATTGTAATATTTAAAGAATTGAAATGGGTAAGAGTCAGTGGCTAACATTGATCAAGTCAAGCCTTATTTTCTTAGAAGTATTAGTCTTTCTTAGCAAATATTTAAGAATGTTTCACAGAAATTGCAACAGTGAAAGATGGAGGCAGCGAGGAACAAACAAAAAATACCATTGACGTCGGAAATGTACGTTCCCGAGAAGTAGACAGGATACCACAAGTACAGAAGAAAATCCTAAAATACAGTAGAACTCCAATTATCTGAATCAGTTGGGACCCGACCCCATTCGGGTAATCAAAAGATTTGGATAAATGGATATTTTCCGAAGAAAGGTTCTATGTACACTTTAATTAATTGCAGTATGTTGAAAATTGGAGAAAAACTATTTGTAAAGAGGTTTCAATTAATTAAAATGAAAAGACCTTTACACGTTTTATAACGTACTGTACAGTACTTCCAAGTGCTGAAAGTCATTGTTTGCTGAACATCTCGGCCAAAGTAAGCTGTTTGTCGTCATCCATTTTCGGCCAGCTAAGTGGCGCACACGCCTGACAATGAGAAGCTGAATGTGGTTAAACTCAGGCTGACGCTCCATTTTCTTCAACGCAGTTTCAAGGCCCACAAACGCTTCACTAGCTGATGGCCCCGTGTCTGCTTTAACTTCGACATTAAGGTCATCTTCCTCGACACTTTATTCTATCACACTTTCAATAAGTTCATCGTCATTTCAATAAGTTCATCAATTATTATATTTCAATAAGTTCATCGTCAATTTGAAACCCATGGTCTGACGAATCGCACATCATCCATTCTTCTGTATCCTCAGCACTAACTTTTAAACATCCAGGAATTTTCAAAAGAATGTGAGGTACGCGTGAGTAACACGTACCTACAAAAGCATAGATAATATTACTTAGCAGCAATCGTAATTGAGATAGGCATATACCATTAAGAATGAGATTTAATAAAGAAAAGTAGCATAGATACATAATAATGGCTTAAGAAAGAATAGAGTCCCAACACAGACACGGATGCCGAAGTTTACATATCACGCTGAAGGCACAAGACTAGACTGAAGTTGTAACACAGACGCACATAGTCTGAAGTCGTTACTCCGAACTGCCGGGAAAAACTCGTCTCTCCCCATCAGCCCGTAGGGTTGCCAAACAGGTTTACTGTATCGCCAATTGACGGTTTTCTCTAGAGTTTTTTGAGTCTGTATCACCTGTGGCGCTGCCGCTGCAAATGTTTCTTAATTCATCAAGTGACACGTCATCCTTTTCCTTCTCTTCTTCAGTTGATATGCCTCTCAACTTGTTCCACGCACGTCTTAATGTGACTGCCTTAACCAAGCTCCAAGCTTCCGCCATCATGTAAGCGCAAACTTTTTTTTTTTTTTTTGTGGTTAGCCAACACACCTTCTTCGTCTTCGCTCTCTACCAAAAGTTTCCCTAAAAGCTGCCTTCTGTAAT